CTTTTGGATCCACCTCGGTTGGAAGGGCAGACATTTCACAAATGTAGCTTCTGCTTTCTGGGTGTGTGCTGCTTTGAATGTCTCTCCTTGTTGCCTGTTTGTGGGTTGTAGGAAAATATGAGATAGGCCTCAAAGTGAGTTAAGAGTTAATATTACAAATTCTGCTTTTTAATATCTCCTGTTAATGTCTCACAGCATCCTCCCTTCACCTGTGGAGAAGACTGGTGCCTATTGGCATGGGGCCCCACTAAAGCTGTCTAAATCCATTTTGGTATCCTATAGCACATGAACACATATGGCTTTGATTGTCTTTTTCTTCCTAAGATTGGGTTAAGAATCCTAAGGGATCTGAAACAGAGTGAAGTTAATTCTTCTTGTCTGGCAGGTGATGATTAAGTACTTACAGATGAGAGAAAACAGAGGTAAAAGCTCTTCCCTAGAATGATGATAGATATCACACTGAGAAATTTTACATCAATTGTTTTCTTTCTAATGGAGCAGTGAACAAGCAGCCTTCAGAAAATACAGAGTCAAGATTGTTCAGGGACTCAGGCCATTGGCATCCTGTACTCTGATACCTGCCTCCTAGCTCTTCTTAGTCTCCATGTCTTCATCTTAATGTTGGAGAGAGGAAATCTGAATGGGTCATTCCAACATTCTCCTACAATCAGCTGCTCCCAGAGGATGAGTCCTCAGGATCCATTGCCTGTTACTGAGGTCTCTAGAAGCAAGTTTGGGCAAAATAGGCCACGTTAAGTAGATAAGTTTGACTTGGCTACCACACTCAGGAGTCCCAATGTATTATATTTTATGTGAATGTATTTGCTTTTTAATAGACTATAAATTTAAAACTAAATAGAATACTATTCTGTAGCTGTTTTTTTCTCTCTTTGGCTCTTTAGGAGGCCCACCACCCAGTTCCCAAATAAATATACACACAGAGAGACTTATTATTACTTATGAATGCCCAGCCTTAACTTGGCTTTTTTCTATCGAGCATTTCTTAACTTAAATTAGTTCATCTACCTTTTGCCTCTGGGCTTTTTCATTTTTTCTGTTTCTGTATATCTTTATTTCTTTATTCCATGGCTGGCTGTGTGGCTGGGTGACTGGTCCCCGATGTCCTCCTCCTTCTTCTCTTGCTCCTCTATCTCCTCTTCCCAGGTTTCTCCTTCTATTCATTCTCTCTATCTGCCAGCCCTGCCTATCATTTATCCTGCCTAGCTATTGACCATTGCAGCTCTTTATTAGACCAATCAAGTGTTTTAGACAGGCAGAGTAACACAGATTCACAAAGTTAAACAAATGAAACATAAAAGAATGCAACACATCTTTGCATCATTAAATAAATATTCCACAGCATAAACACATGTAAGACATCTTGAAATAATATTCTACAACAGCATTCCATAGTTTTGTTTTGTTTATAGATTAGAATTGAATAACTATTTTAGAAGCTATTTGTTTTTTTGTTTGTTTGCTTTTTTAAATTTTATAATTTAATTTAATTTTACATATCAGCCACGGATTCCCTTGTCCTCCCCCCTCCCACCCACCCCCACCTTCCACCCAGCCCACCCCACATTCCCATCTCCTCCAGGGCAAAGACTCCCCTGGGAATTGAGTTCAACCTGGTAGATTCAGTCCAGGCAGGTCCAGTCCCCTCCTCCTAGGCTCAGCCAAGTGTCCCTGTATAAGCCCCAGGTTCCAAACAGCCAGCTCGTGCACTGAGGACAGGTCCTAGTCCCAGTGCCTGGATGCCTCCCAAACAGATCAAGCCAATCAACTGTCTCACCCATTCAGAGGGCCTGATCCAGTTGGGGACTCCTCAGCTATTGGTTCATAGTTCATGTGTTTCCATTCGTTTGGCTATTTGTCCCTGTGCTTTTTCCTATCTTGGTCTCAACAATTCTCACTCATATAAACCCTCCTCTTTCTCGCCAACTAGACTCCTGGAGCTCCACCTGGGGCCTGGTCATGGATCTCTGCATCCGGTTCCCTCAGTCATTGGATGAGGTTTCTAGCATGACAATTAGGGTGTTTGGCCATCCTATCACCAGAGTAGGTCAGTTCGGGCTTTCTCTCGACCATTGCCAGTAGTCTATTGTGGAGGTATCTTTGTGGATTTCTGTGGACCTCTCTAGCACTTTGCTTCTTCCTATTCTCATGTGGTCTTCATTTATCATGGTCTCTTATTCCTTGTTCTCCCTCTCTGTTCTTGATCCCGCTGGGATCTCCCGCTCCCCTAAGCTCTCTTTCCCTCAACCCTTGCCCTTCATTTCCCCCACTCACGTCCAGGTTGTTCATGTAGATCTCATCCATTTCTCTGTCATTGGGCGATCCCTGTGTCTTTCTTGGGGTCCTGTTTTCTAGGTAGCCTCCCTAGAGTTGTGAGTAGCAGTCTAGTCATCTTTGTTTTACATCTAGTATCCTCCTATGAGTGAATACATACCATGTTTGTCCTTCTGAGTCTGTGTTACCTCACTCAGGATTAGAAGCTATTTGTATATATACAGTTTTAATTTGCTATAGTTTGGTGATTTCATGTATGTATATAACATGTTTTGATCAAACATGTGTCCTTGCCAACTTCAGGTGCTCTTTTCTTTTTCAACCATAAGAATCTACTTAGTACTGCCGGTATGTGCACAGTGTAGTGCCATCTACTGGAACATGAGAAGCTTCTCAGGGATGACATCCTTGAAGAAAACTGACTCTCCATCTACCTGCCAGCCATCAACTGCAAATATCTCCTCTGCTAGGGGTGGAACTTCATGAGCTACCTCAATCATCCATGCTGGGATTTTGTTCAGTTTGATCTTGTACAGGTCTTGCTCATGCAGTCACAGCTTCTACCAGGTCATGTGTGCAAAAACCCTCTTGTGTCCACCATTTCACTGCAGTCTCCCACTACCTCTGGCTCTTACAATGTTTCTTCCCTCTCTTCTGCAATGATTCCTGGGCGTTGGTGGGGGGTTGGGTGTGATATTTAGAGCTAAACACTCCATAGTCTTTTTTTCTCTGCACATTGACCAGTTGTGGGTCTCTGTATTAATCACCGTCTACTGTAAAAAGAAGCTTCTCTAATAAGGGTTGAGAGATACACTGATCTATGGGTATTATTTCATTATATGTGTGCATGCATATATGTGTGTTGTTCATATGTGTGTGGGTGCTCTTGTGGGGAAAGGTATATATGAATGTGTTGTATGCATGTGTATGTAGATCAGGTATCCTCAAGTGCCTTTTTTTATTTTAGATAAGGTCTCTCATTCCCTGGACTCTCCAAGTAGGCTAGCCTGGATGGCCAGTGACCCTCAGGAATCTACATGTCTCTACTTACTAAGGATTGAACTCAGGTCCTCATGCATGTAGATCAAACACTTTATTGACTAAGCTACCTTCTGGGCCCTATTTTGCATTTCTTACCTGTAGAATATAAATTGTTTCCATTGGCCAAGAAGTGAAAACTAACAAGACTTTCCTTCTCTTTGGGTTGCTTTCTGCTTATTTGTTTCTCATCTGCTACCTGCTAAAATGGACACCCCATATGCTTCCAGCATGTTACCCCCACACATTCTGGTACAGGCAACATTGTCATCTTCATTTCCTTACAAGAGAGAAGCAGAATTCCTTGTGAAATAAAGCCAGGATGTACTGGCTAGGTTATAGGGGTTTTTTTGTTTTGTTTTGTTTTTCTAACACTGAACTTAACCTAATGGTGCCTAATGGCTCCTCCCCACAGCCACCACCATACAATCCTTTCCCACACCCACTGAAACCTTGATTATATACCATTGCTCTGTCTACTGCAGTGATTGGGCACTCTGCCAGCCTGAAGAACTGAGGAATTGTGGGAGTGGTCAAGCCAACAGCACTGTGCTAGCCACCAGTCAGTATCACTGTCGTCCTTAGTGTCCTGCTTCTTGCTGGAGTTGTAGATCTAGACTCCCTTCTCATCCCAATGACCCCTCTCTTCCCCACCATCTTCTCCAGCTCAAGGGACGCATACTCTTCTCCTAGGAGTCAGTAGATCACAGTCTGATCTTACAGAGTGATCTTACAGAGTGTGCTGACCCACAGTTGCATGAGTGAGAGAAATGGGATTTGCAGGGGTTTCTCCAAGGGAACAGAATTCACCTTACTCATTTGGCCAATAAATCACAAAAACATGTAACTCATTGAATCTAAAGTAAAAAATAGGTAGCTCTTCTTCAGCAAAATAGCAAGTGGTTTTTACTTAGGATTTAAAAGGAACAAAGGAAGAGGGAAGAGAATATTATAACCCATAATATGATTTTTCCTCAAGGGTTTGGGTTACTTGGAGGAAATTAAATAAGCCATTCTAGTCCATTGTTCTGCTCTAGCTGTGAAGTGCTTCCTACTGTGAGCACTATTTCCCAATTGTTGCCTGTCAGAAATACTTAGCAGCTCTGGTTCTGGGTATTGCACATATTGAGTTGCGCAGTGTGGGGAACAATGTTGGCGGTGTTACTATTTTAAAATAAACAACCTCCAATGACATTTCTCTTCCATGATGCTTTTCCTGAGAACACATTTCATGCACTGATAGAATGTTTTAAAATCTCTCCCTTCAAAGAAATCAACAGAAAATTCTCAGCAGCAGAGAAAAGTAGGCTATATGAAAATCAGAAAGGGAGAATCAATTTTCAGAGTCAAGAATAGTCTATGGGCTGATTGAGTTTGGTGCTTCTAAAATCATTCTTTCCTCACCAAGTTTGATTCTGAGGCCCCGGCTGATTGGTCATACAAATCAGATGGCCGGTAGAAACTGCTTATGAACCAGTCAATTGGATAGTTTGCTGCAGTCAGAAAACCCTTGACTGGGGTTTTCTCTGTGGTCTGAAGACTTCTTCTGAACTGGGAGCCCAAGAACATTTGCCAACCCACCACACACATTTCCTCTCAAAAGAAACCCGTCTCTGTTTGAGTGTGTGCTTTGCACATTGTGTAAATCTGTTTGTTTTTCTCTCTTACAGAAGCTGCAAAGAATCGATCCTGCTCACTGTCATTCAGCCTTACCCTGTAAGTGTTCTGTGAGCAAAAGTGCCACTCAGTGTTCTTGAACTTCTAGTCTCCTCAACCCACTCCAGGAAAGCCACCAGGATGAATAACAGTGGAGACAAATAACATGTGTTCACAATGCAAGCTTAAACTTCTTGATCATTTCTATTGTGTTCTGTGTTACTAAAACCATTCACTGGAGTGAAAAGTACTGCACTTCCCTAAATATCCTGAAAGACAATCAGCTATGCAGGCCTGTGAGCATTCCACATCTGCAACTAATATAAAACCTAAGACTTTCTTGTCTGCCAGCTTCCGAATCACAAGGCTCATGGGAATATCTAATTACAGGAAGTTGTGTGAAAGTTTTATTCTTGTCCCCACGTAATTATTTTGGTAGAGAACTAGATAATTAAGCCTGATTCAAAGGAGACATGAGAGGGATACCACTGTCAGAATTCGAGTTCAGATACCTTGATTGGGAGGGAGAAACTGATTATGATCATACTGCTTTCATTTCTTAGGTTTTCTGGTTTGCTTGTCGGTCTGTCTGTCTGTCAGATATGGTTTCATGTATCTCAGGCTGGTCTAAACTTGCTAAGTAGCCAAAGGTTGACCTTGAGCTTCTGATCCTCCTGTCTCCACCTCTAGTGTTATGACTACAGGCATTCATCACTACATTTAGTTAATAAAGTACTGAAACTTGAACCCACGGCCTTGCCTGTGCTAGCCAAGCACTCTACCAACTGAGCTATACTGTCAAACCCAATTCTTAGGATTTTTTAAAACAATTTTATGATGACATAATCTTCATGGTGTTCAATTCACTCATTTTACATGCATAAGACAAAGGTCTTGGCAAAACCGAGTGAGGTATGCAGTTAACACCACAGTCCAATTTCAGAATGCTCTATCACCCCTCTACAACCCCTAATTCCCACGTTCAGTTAATGCCTGGTACCACCATCCACCCCAGGCAACTGCTAATTTTTCTCTTTCTACAGGTTTGTTGTTACTTGTGAATGTCATACATTCAGAAAATACTAAGGAAAATGGCTTTATGGCCAGCCACCTTTTGGGCCTTCATATAGACAGGCAGAGAATCTAACCAGCATGGCTTCCATGTTTTCTCCTCACAGAATAATATGTATATTCTAAGTGCAGTGTGATGTTGATTGCTGTTTTTACTCCCATCTCTCAAATTTGTATTCTTTTACCTGAATTTTCTTTTTACTTTGCAACTTCTTAAAAACATATGATCAGGCCGGGCAGTGGTAGCACATACCTTTAATCCCAGCACTGGGGAAGCAGAGCCAGGCAGATCTCTGTGAGTTTAAGGCCAACCTGGCCTACAGATCGAGATCCAGGACAGGCATCAAAACTACACAGAGAAACCCTGTCTCGAAAAACAAAACAAAACAAAAACATAATCAGAACCTTTATCACTCGACGCTGATTTTTTTTTTTACATTGTATATTGCTGTTTTAGTCCATGCAGAAAAGGAAGAAGAAAAGTAAAAAGAGGCATTTGGCATTCAAGTTCAAAGGGAACCTAATAGGTGAGGGTTAGGATTTAAGGGTTAGCTCTTCTGTCCAACTGAGTCTTCATGACCTGTTGGTATAGAAAATTTCCTTGCTGTCAGTGAAACCAGGTACTTTGATTTGATAATCTGGATTGTTTTCCAGAGTCCAGTGGCTGCTTTTCTACATTGAAACACAATGTGAGCCATGTCATTCAGGAGGGAATGCTGCATACACTTATTGCCAATAGCCACTCTTCTACTCCATTCTTCCCCTAGCCAATCGTTGCAGGTGAATTCTTATCTTGAACTATCCTTCCTTCCTGAGATGCCGACCAGGCTTTTCACTCCTCCTATCCCCTCTGGCCAGCCAAATCCTCCCATCGTTCAAAGTTCAGCCCTGATTCTAAATGCTGCCAGAGGCTTTCGTGTCCTGACACTGATGACATTTGGCTGAAGAGTTTCCTGTTTGAGGGTGGCCCTGCATATTAGAGGATGCTTGCGAACACCGATGACATCTGTCCAGCAGATTCGAATTTCACCCTTTTCCCCAAGTTGTGCCAATCAAAAATATCTGCAGACATTGCTAAGTGTCCCTTCAAAATAAAGTTGTTCCCAGTCGAGAGCCACTGTAGTGCCTTAATGCCCCTCCTTACCGCTCCAACATGATTTGCCTCCTCTGAACCAGGGATGTGCATACCCTGAAGTTACTAAAATAGACAGAGACACTAGATAGACAGAGAAGAGCAGATGGCAGAAGAAACTGTGATGCTTTTGACTTGTACCTTAAGATTGGGATTTTCCTTCTAGATTGCTTCTTTAAAAAAAATTCAATCTGGGTATAGCCTGTAATCTCAGCACTTCAGAGGCTGGGGTAACAGGGTTGGTGCAAATCTGAGGCCAGCCTGGGCTACATTAGTGAGCTGCAGGCCAGTGTGGCCTACAATGTGAGACCCTGCCTCAAAACAAAATAAACAAACAAGCAAAAAGCAGGGTTTAATTTGTTACAAACAAGATAGAGTTAAAAAAAATACAAATAACCTAGCCAAACAAGAGAAGATCTGTAGACTCTGCTTCTGTCTGAGAAAAATCTATACATTTCATGTTTCTTAGAGCACTTACATTTCTTTTGGAACTGGCTAGCAAGAAATTCTTAAGCAGCTTGCCTTGCTGCTTTATGATGAGCTCCAATAAAGTGTGTCCCATACACCTGAGGGACGCTAGGCCTTCTCCCTGCAAACCCTGCCACTACAGTTTCCTGGGCAAGCACGTGGCTTCACAGCATAAGCCATATCCCCTGCTAAGCATGGCAGTCAAACTTCCAGGATGGTATACCAGGGAGTCTTTACCTGGGGGCCCTTTCTGGCTGATCTCCTGAAGCAGACTGAATGTGCTGACTTATCACTCCTGGAGGGCAGACTTTTGTGTTCTTCATGATGATCGTCAGTCAAATACATCCACAAGAGAGGACACAAGAAAGAAACAGGAAAATACCATTGTTACAGTTACAGGTCCTAAAGAGACCAATCACTATGTATCAAAAGGAGGGTCACATGAAAGGGGAGCACTGAGGAAGTGGGTTCAACCTAGTAGGTGAGGAACAGAGAGAAAGAGAGAGGACCTGTGGACAAGTACATTTATTGAGGGTGAACACAAAGAAAAGTTAAGGAGAAATGGGAGTGATGGAATGTGCCTGTGATCCTAGCACCCAGGATGCCAACACAGAAAAATCAGAAGTTCAAGGCCAGTCTAGACAACACTTAGCAAGATCCTGTCAAAGAGTTAGGAGTAGGGAGGAGAGGAGGAAGAAGAGAAAAACAGAAAATGTGTAAGATAATTACATTAGTATTTTTAGACATCAATAGGTCAAGGTCAGGGATGGATATGAAGGAGAATTTGTGGTAGGACCACCTCATTGCACTGGTGTACCTGGTTGCCTAGACTGGGTGCTCAGAGCCTGTTTGTTGGGATGCTGACATGTCAGGAAGACAAAGGCTTTAAAATTTATGAGTAGCTATTCAGTTAGTGATCACAAGAGCTGGCAGATAAATACACCACCTGCCTCTGTCCTTTGAACCATGTAACTCTGGGGCATGTGGTCAGCCTTGCTTCCCAGCGATTCTCAGTAGGAATAAGTTCCAGTTGCCTAGAGTGGTGCCTTGCTTAACAATGAAAACTTTATTGGCTTCTTCCCTTTTCCTTTCTCCTTTTCCCACCCACCTGCCTGTATCTCTTAGAAGCACCTCCCAGACTACCTACCAGCTTATGAAGCCTTGTCTTGGTATCGGCTTTATGAGGATTGTAAACAAGTTACTTAGTAGCTATAGGCTACTCCAAGACTACGTGGGCTGCAAGTTCAAAGCCATATTATGCAGTTTCAGATATCAGTCTGTCTTATGTTTTTTATTTTTTTTTACTCTTTTTTATGTATATGTGTATGAGCCTGTTTGTGTATATGCAGGTGCTCAAGGATGCCAAAAGAGGGCATTAGATCCCCTGGAACTTAACAAACAAGTGGCTGTAAGTTGCCAGATGTGGGTACTAGGAACTGAACTAGGATCCTCTGCAAAAGAAGCAACTAACCACTAACCCATCTTAACAACTAAGCCATCTCTCCAGCCCTTTATTTGTGTATATTTTTTTCAAGTTCTGTTCTGGTCATTTCTAAAAGAATCAGAAGAATATTCCCTATACTATGGCCATCTTAGCAATAGCAAATTTGGAAAATAATGCAGGAATTGATTAGGGCCATGATAGTTAAAATCAACTAACAGCAGGAGAATCTCATTATTCTAAATGTTAATTGCTTGTCATTTCTGCCACCTGATATAAAATGCTTATGATCAGCACCTATAGCTGCTGATAGCTAATTTGCCAGGATTCTGAGCTGTGTGCAGTGTATATGCTTTGACTAACAAAGAGAATTATCAGCTAGAACTGCATTTATATTTGGTTTGCACTATCCTATCTACCTGAAACTCTAGCCACCAGAGTAAGCAAGGCACCATGTTGCCAGTTATAATGACTAGATAGCCTTCTTGGAGACTTTTTGTGTTTCTATCACCAAAAAGCTGTTTAAAGGTTTTGAAGTGTTTTGATTTTTTTTGTTTTGTTTTATGCTCATGGAAGTTTTGCCTCTGAGTATGTCTGTGTACCACGTGCATGCATGCAGTGCTCATGGAGGCCAGAAGAGGGCATCAGATCCCCTGGAACTGGAGTTAGAGATGGTTGTTAGCTGCCATGTGAGTGCAGGGATTTGAACCCATTTTCTCTGGAAGAACAGTTACTGATCTTAACTAATGAGCCATCTCTACAGCTCCAAAAAAGTCATTTTAAGTTCATACTAACGTATAAAACATTTGCCAATCCAGAACAAAAAAAAAATGTATTTATGGTGGATTTTTAGGCTTTTATTCCAAGTCTGTTGACTTCAAATTTCTATTTTGATCATCTTAGATTCCCATGTTTGTCAGTAGTACATGGTTTAATACAGTAAAGAGATTACCCAGGGTGTACATGCTAAAGTTACAAAGAAAAGTGAAGCATCCCTAGCATGGCACATCCTGCTCTCTACAGTCACTAACTTTATGAACTATGTTAGTCAGCTTCTGTAGATCTATACCTTAGTTATGTTTCTATTGCTGCCATAAAAACATAACCAAAAGAAGCTTAGGGAGGAAAGTATTTGTTTCATCTTACACTTCCACATCACAGTCCATCACTGAGGGAAGTCAGGGCATAAACTCAAACAGGACAGGAACCTGGAGGCAGGAACTAAAGCAGAAGCCATAGGAGAATGCTGCTTACTGCCTTCCTCTTCATGGCTTATTCATCCTACTTTTTCCATACAACCCAGAACCACCAGGGATGGCACCACCTACAGTGAGCTGGGCCCTCCCATGTCAATCATCAATGAGGAAAATGGACCACAGGCTGAAGTGGTAGAGATATTTTCTCCATTTAGGGTCCTCATCCCAGACAATTCTAGGTTGTGTCAAGTTGAGAGAAAACTGACCAGGTCAAAGTATCTGTGAGACAACTTAAAGGATGAAAGGTTTAGTTTGTCTCACAATTTCAGAGGTTTCTGTCTGCAGGTCTCAGTCCTTTGATTCTGGGCCCATCGTATGACGAAGTATCACAACAGTGGTAGTATGTGGCAGAGGAAGAAACTTCACCTTATGGCAAACAGGAAGCAGACAGAGAGGAGGGCCCAGAAACCAGTTCAAACCTTGGAAGGCACACCCCCAGTATATTAGGTACTTTTCCTGTTGCTGAGCCAAAGCAACTTAAGGAAAGGAGGGTTTGTACCATCTCACAGTTTACAGATACAGACCATCATGTTGTCATGAACTTGAGACCACTGGTCTCATTGTATCAACAGACCGGAAGCAGAGAGATAAATGCCGGTGCTCAGCTCACTTTCATTTCTGACTCTTTTTATTCAGTCTAAGACAACAACTCATGGCATTATATTGCCCGCAGTGCAGGTGGGTCTCCATACCTCAGTGAACCTAATCTAGGTAATTGTTTGCACACAGGCTCAGGTTTGTCTCCTAGGTGACTTCAGAGTCTGTCAAATTAACAAGAAATATTAAGCATTATACCCAGTGACCCATTTCCCCTACCTATCTCCTAAGTTTCAATCACCTCCTAAAATAGCACCACTAGTTAGGGCCAAATGTTCAAGGCATGAGCCTATGGGGAAATTTTTATATTCAAACCATAACATAGACAAATCATGCTATGTTTTCAATGAAGCTGAGTAACATCATTCTATTTCTAAAATCATATCAAATGATACACATCTCAAAAGTCAGTTCTGATACACATACCTTTTTACTGAGGCAAGGAATTATGTAGAACATTCTAGAAAAATACAGTAAATTGTTAAATTGGAAAACCAGGATGCACAGAGAAGTCAAAGTTGAGTATAAGGTACCTTGAATGAGTTGAACATTTTATTGTCAAACAATGCTAGAAAAGTCGGACATTACTTGTAACATCTCAACCTATGAGTCATGTCTGTTCTGGTATTTTTATTGCAGCCACTTCACTTGTGCTAAACTCATTGTGACAATGTAAACACTGCCATTCAGAATCGCTAAGGGGGAATAATGTTTTTCCTTCAGCTAAAAAATGGCATATCAAAAGCAAATGAGCTCACCCCTGTATGATTTGCTCGTTAATCATCACTAAACTTGGCCTATAATTACACAGACACTGATGAGAACACACCATTGTCACATCACTCCAGCACCGCAGTATGACTTCCAAAACTCACACAGAGCTTGCTCAACACTGGCATCTTTTGATGGCCACTCATCCAGAGTGCTTTTCCAGTTTTTTTTTTTAAAGAACAGCCATTCTCTTTAAAATGGCTTGTGTAAGTGGGTGAATTGAAACTTCAGAACAGAAATCATCCATCTGTCAAGGCTTCTAAGATAATGCCCACAGTTCACATAGGTTCAGAAAGGTGTGCAGGGGAATGTTGGAAACATCACCTAGCATAGTTCTGCAAACCTGTAATTCTGGTGCCAGGAAGGGTTATGTAGAAGGATTATAAACCCTGGAAATTAAGCCAGTGGTGGTGGTACATGTCTTTAATCCCAGCACTCGGAAGGCAGAGCCAGGCAGATCTCTGTGAATTTGTGGCCAGTCTGGTCTACAGAGCGAGATCCGGGACAGGCATCAAAAGCTACACTGAGAAACCCTGTCTCAAAAAACCAAAAACCCTGTCTCAAAAATAAACAAACAAAAATAGTATTCTCCCGATATTAAGACAAAAAATATCTGCCCCCAAACATATATGTCATTGCATATTCTCAACAATGATTTTATATTATAATAAAATACACATATGAAACATAAAGTATGCCTTTTTAACTGTACAATTCAGCAGTATTACATACATCCATGATTTATTAAGCATCACTGTTATCTCATTGTAAAACCTTCTCATCACTCACAGAGGAAATTCCATACCTATTAAACATTTATTCCTCCTTTTTCTTCTGCCCCTGTTCCAAATCTGTCTTTTTTCTGTTCTGGCTGTTTCACATAAATACAATTATGCAATATTTGGTCTTTTCTACCTGATTTCATTCATACCATGTTTTCAAGATTTTATCATCAATCAATATCCTATTGTATGAACATACCATATTTTATATATCCATTCCATCATGTTTTTATTTATTTAATTGAGTTCCAGAATATGTGTATTTTGCAAGGTTGGGAGTCCTTTAAAATTTTTGTTATTTAACTTTAAAAAGAGGTATGCATTATGATCATAAGTTTGGAGGCCATGAAACTAATATTATATACATCAGGTTAAGCCTTTATGTAGATTCAAGGGTCAGTTACTAGATTGTATTATACGAAAGTCTCAATGCCTGCAGAATAAGGAGCATGCAAATCAGTCTGTACACTAGGCAATTGCCAATATTTGACCATTTTAGTTTATGAACCAGCAATCATCCGATTCTCTGTTAAATCCAATGGAGAATAAAGGTTGTTTTTGTTTTATAACTAGTGATGCTGTTAATAGATGGGAGTTCAATTGCCTTTAGGCTTTGCAAAAATTACATAAGGATGATTTTCAGATGGATTGACTTGACCAAGGCCATGCAGCAAGGAATCCCCTTTGTCCTAGCACCCTTTTAAGCAAATGCTCCCATTGCTCTTATGGTTTCCAAGGAAGAGCCATGCCATTCAGCCCTTAATTCCAAGAAAAACAGGGAAGAATCACAGAATACAATGCACTTGTAAGATAAGGCAAACCATGAAGTCCGGAGTTCAACTCTTAATTGTAAGTCAGAGTTTCCTCCTACTCTGCCCATTAAGATCCAAGATCATAGATTACCAGCATAAGGCTGAAAGCCAGGTTGTAGAGACATAAAGCATAGAGGCTTAAGGCAAAATCACTTCCCACTTCTGAATTGTTTTCAGAGCTCTGCATTCAAAGCAAGGTTTAAAAGATGCTTGGGATTGTGAATAGTAAGAACATGGGACATACTGTGCTTCTTGTCTGGTCACTAAATCAAGGTTATTAATTTACAGTCATGACAGAGTTTCAATCACATCCATAATTTGCATTTTGTCCTTGAATTGGGCATGCACCGAATATTTTACATTTTAGCGACAATGATGCGTACCTTTGAGGATAAAGATGAAAAAAAACTGTCACAAGGTTTGTGTTAGAATGCCAGTAATTGGATAAAAATCTTTCCATTTCCTCTAGTCTCCCAAATCAGCATTTATTAGTGCTGCAAAAAAGGCAAGATTGAAGTCCAACCCGGTCAAAGTGCGCTTTTCCGAAGAGGTCATCATCAATGGCCAAGTGTCGGTAAGTTTACCATTATCTGTGTTGTTATGCAGAGAATCACTGAGGCAGAGGCTTTGTGCTTGAATCAAGCCAATAATGTTACTAGAATGTTCATTCTGGACCTAGTTCTTATCTTATTATGGGGGTGTCAAATCTTGACTACAAAGGACTTGACTCACCACCACCTCATTGTCCTCAATTCTAACACAACCAGAATAGGAGCTAGCCCAGTGATTCCTATGATACTTGGTATATTAGAACCCTCACTTTGATCTGGTAGCATTAATGTTGCCTCATTTATATTAGGTAAAGTAAGCTTCCTTTGAAATTTCCACTTTATTGTGCCAATTAAGCATGGTTCCACAGAATAACCTTTTATATATTTTGTGAAAAGAATTATGTTTCTCTTGAGTTTGTGTGTGTGTGTGTGTGTGTGTGTGTGTGTGTGTGTGTGTGTGTGTGTGTGTGTATAAATGTCAAAAGTCATTGAAAGAACAGATTTTGTATATAAAGCTAGAACTGAAGAATGATCCACCAGGTCTATACAAATAGGTCTTCATGGAAAGCATGGCTTCATGATCTTCCACATGGATAATGCAGACCTGAAGAGGATACTTCATTTTCTACACTTTCCAAAGATAGGAGAATGCATTCTGTTTCATTTTCATTTTTGTTTTAGGTTTTGGGAAGTTTTTACAAGGGTACTAATAGTTTGGGGGTCTTGGAAATTTCAGATTTTTATTGTTGATGGTTGTTGGCTGTTATTGGTGATGTTTAAATGAATCTCAGGAATAGACCTTCATTTGTGATCTGTTTGCTGTGGATCACACTGGAAGCATATCCTGAGCAAGGCACTTATGAATCTTCTTATCACCAGCCCAACCTAGAACTTTCCACCTTGGAGATTAGGGAATTGAAATATGTGATAATTCTCTTTGAGCTGTGATAAAATACCAAGCCTAAACCACTTCATGAAGGAAGGATCCTCATGGTTGCAAAGGGTCCAGTCTTTATTCCTTGGGTTTTGATTCTTGCCCTGTGGTGAGGCAGAACATCATAGCAGCAGGAGCTTGTAGCAGAGGCTACTCAGCTCACAACATCCAGAAAGTAAAGAGAAATTGAGATAGATATGGGTAATGAGAGGAAAGAAAGAAATATAGAGAAAATATGAAGGAGAGAAGGAGAATCTGTGTCCATACAGGGTCTGAAACTTTCTTCCCTATTATCCCATCTGGACCCCTAACCTATTTGATGACAGCCCCTATATTCAGGACAGGTCTTCTCCCCTCTGTCAATCATCTTTAAAAATGTCCTCATAGATACACCCAGAGGTGTGCTTTACTAATCTCCTAGGTGGCTCTCAATCAAAACTAGTTGATAATAAGGATTAAGTATCATGGTTGGTCAATCTGACAAACTGTTGGGGCATTTTGAGAAAAGGTCTGAGGCTGTCACTGTTATCCTGTGAACATTTTGTACTGACCTGTAAATTTGATGCACTCTGTTCCCTGCAATGGATCTCCATCAATCTAGGCACACAGTTACCACATGTCACCAACTCAGTGGAGGAGCAGAAGATTCTAGGCATAGAAAAATAAGTATATCACATTAAAATTTCATAAGAAAATTACCTTTCCACCCCAGGGCTTCTCAGCATGTGACTGAGCATCTAAAGAGAGAATAATGTTCTAGAAGCTTCTGCAACAGTGTCATTTCAACCCTTTTTTTTTAACCTGGGCTCATGTGAGGCAGCTGGAATGTGAGGACATTGAGGAAGAGCCAGTGTTCTCTGCAGTCTCTGTTGCCTTGCCATGATCCTATAAAGGCAGGATCTTCACTTGCACATCTAACCCTCAGCCCATGGAATCTCATCCTTTGTAATATGCTCTTCTCAGCCACAAGGTGGCTTGTCTTCTGAATTTAAAGTCAGACTTACTCAGTGAATCAAGTAGCAAGAAGGTCACAGAGGAAGGCCATGGCAGTAGAAATAAGGAGAAGAAATTCAGAGAAAGAAATGGGCAGTGAAAGCCAAGGGACCAGTTAATGAGTTATACAAGGGTTGAGTTTGCTCAGACTATAAACCACTTATAAACATCTGTGCATCTGGTCTTCAGTTCCCTCATCTACAAGCCAAAGGACATATGGCTTTGCTATTTCTATGTCTCCCCAAGCCCCTGTGACTCTGTGAAAACAAATATATGTGTATAACACAGTTCCCTCCAAGGACTCATGGATCTTACAGGAATGCATCTACTTCTCTCTTTCATCTCTCTCATCATCTCTCTTGACTTCCAATTAAAGGAAGCATCCTAAGGAATGCATTTCTCAGGTTCACTCTTGGTCATATTTCAAATTGGCATCATGTTTGAGTTATTTCTAGATTATATTATGAGCTGTTCATTATCGCTTTGACTTAGCACTTCACTTCTTTTTTTGTGACACTGGGAATGGAATGCAGGGCCCTCCCACATACCAGGTTTGCTCGTTAGTTTTTGTCAAGTTGGTACAAACTAGAGACACCTGGGAAGAGGAAAACTTAGTTAAGAAACTGTATTCATCAGGTTGGCCTGTGGGCATGTTTCTAGAGTTTTCTTGGATTGCTAATTGATATACGAGGGCCCAGAGCACTGTGACCAGTGCCATCTCTGGGCAGGTAGTCCTGAATTGTATAAGAAAGGCAATTTAATGTGAGCCTGGAAGAAAAGTAGTAAGCAGTATTCCTCCATGGTCTCTGCTTCGGTCTCTGTCTCCAGGTCCTGCCTTGAATTCCTGCTCTAGCTTCCTCCAATTATGGGCTATAACCTGTAAACTAAAATAAACCCTTTCCTCTCCAAATTACTTTTAGTGATGGCATTTTATCACAGTGACAAAAAAGCTAACTAGGACATTACGCAAGTGCTGTACCACTGAGCTGAAAGCCTTGACCCTGTCTTTTTCTCTTTTAGCACACTAGCTTGCCTCTTATGCTTTCCTTTTGAGATGAGAAACATTCCTAAATGGGTTACAAAGAGTTTTAAAAAATAACTTTACCCTTGAGCTCCTTCATGCTTGTGACTCATTTGCATGACCACCGCCAGGGACCAGCAGTCTCCTGTCACACCGCATCATTGATGGTCTTCATTTTGTTCATTTAATCCTGATCCACAAAAGTCAGGGCTTGTGTTTCCAGACACAGATTCTTGACTACAAAGGAATTATGTCTGTAATAATGTTTTCCATTGGGGAATCTTGCTTTGTAAAAAAATGCATCTGATTTTTCTGATAGGCAAAAATGTCTTTTGTTGGAGTTTCATGGGTTATTTGTAGCTGGAAAACAATATTGCTATGAACGCCTTAGTTCAGATCCCACCAAAGGGATACCTATTTGGTCTGTGAGCATTTGGTTGTTTGTTCATTATTCTATTGTGATAAGAATAAACAATAGACATGTGTTCCTACTGCCAAGAGTAAAACTCTAATTTGACTGACCGTCACAGCCACCATTTCTCTTTTCTGTTGTTAAACAGGAAACTGTTAAAGACAACTCACTTCTTTTTATGCCAAATGTTTTGAAAGTCTATTTGGAAAATGGACAGACCAAATCCTTTCGCTTTGACTGCAGCACCTCCATCAAGGTAAGCTGACATTTGAACCTCTGGGCCTGTACTCAGTATGTAGAACCAAACCAAGACAGAATGCATAAACAGAAAAGGCTCTGGAGTTTTTTTGTCTGTATTGGCGATACAAACACTATAACATGCATTCTATAAAGAAACACAAGGACTAATGATTTTCATGCAACCACAGATTAATTAAAATAGCATGACTGTCACCAAGAAGGTTTGGCACCCTGCCCAAAGCCAACAGGATTTCCTAGCAATGTCAACCACCAAGAAGATTAGGGTATTAACTATTAATTAAATATCTGTCATTTTTGGTGTCCAGCAAAAACAAGGGGTAGAATAATGTAAAGTTAACATTTACTTTTGGTTGCTTTAACCAATTGCTGGAGAATGCCACATAACAAGTTGAAACTGAGGCTTACTTCTCAGGATGGGGTTAAAGGACGAGCCATCATGCAGTCCCATGATTTCTGAGCCATAGGTGAGTTTTACATAATAGGTTTCATAGCAAAGGGTATAGGTTTTCCCCCATGCTTCTTTCCTGGAAAAGAAAAGAGCATATTCTCCTCTTCTTTTATTGTACAAAAGTATGTTCAGAAATTGATTGCTCCCTAATGTCTCATCAGCCTAAAATAGGCTTTCTTCAAATGGCACAGTCAGAAAGATTTTATGGAGGTAAAAATGTACCTAGTGATGATCTGTACCATAATCTAGCAAAAGACTATCAAGTCTGTGTTTAAAATGTCTATCAATAGTCAACCATTAATTCTCTGTGTTTGAAAGGACTCAGAGTAGATCTCACCTATGCAAACAGTTCTACACAGCTCACTTGCTGTGCATTCTTATTGTCATAATATCAGCAAGCAGCTGGGTTTAAATTGCCTTAAATACATGGTGATTCAGTAGGCAGTAGAAGGAACAATATTAGTAGATGGATGTAGGAGCACCAAGTCATCCTTAATTGCTCCAGATGAAATACTAGTTCCCTTCATATATACTTTGAAATGGTGATGGCTGATAAAAATCTTTTTCCTTTTTTCCTATTCAATACCAATGTATGACGAGAGGATAGTTGATCTAATAATCAAGTAAGAGGGGGGTCGGCAAATTCTTTCTGGAAAGAAGAAGAGAGTAACCATTTTGGGCTTTGGGGCCATCTGTTATCTGTAGGAACTATTGGATTATTTTGTTGCACCAGGAAAACAGCCACAGAGAGGCATTGGGAGGGCCTCAGGACTACCTTTTAGGTGAATAGTCTTCTTGAGAAGACCTAGATCTCAAATATTTTTCCTCTCACATTCTAGTTCATTATAGCAGAGGGTGAGAAGAGAAGCTGGATTCAACAAGGGAATCAGCCCATAGGACAGCTTCCAGAGTCCCCTCCCTATGGACACCTACAGGCAGTGTTATAGTCTCCCAGGAATGATGTAACAATATACACAGAGTATTACTAAGAAAACTCCCCTTTGTCTTGATGTCCATAGATTTTATTGGAGACTGGTCACATAGACACAGCTGACCAACTGCATGGCTGGACTTAGTGCCTTGCCCCTCTAGAGGTCAAATTGATGTTGCACGGCCCAAGATTATTTGTGGGCTCCTAATAGCAAAGACTGTCTGCTATGGACCAGAGCTTTAACAACAGCATAATGACTCCTGCCAAGCAGACCACTGAAGAGCTAAGAGGTCCATCCCAAGAGTGACACATCAGAGCCACATCTCTCTTTAGGCAATGCTGATTCTTTCCTGCATACACTTTGTGTGAGCAAATGAGGATGGCCAGTTGGACCTATGGGCAATTGTTTGCAGACCCTAGAACCCATGCACAAAAGTACACTACTATGAATCTCTCTGCTCTTATGGACTTATTCTGTGTTCTCAACTGCTCAGTTCCTTGCTACACCTTGTTACACCTTCTATCTCACTTGAAGACATATGCTAAGACCTGAGTCCATTTCTTACCAGAAACCAGTCTAACTGAAAAGAAGTTCTATTGTTCATTCCTTCTGGCTTCTTTATTGTAGCAAAGTCACACTAGACCGAGTTTGGTTTCCTGGTGGATTACAGGTGACAATGAGGAAACTAAGAGCTGTGCAAAGAGTTCACATCAAATTCAAGATACCTTGTCTTGTACCTAGCAGCCTGATTAGCACAACAGACATTGGCTGTCGAGCGTCAAATAGAAATCGTTCAGTGATGAAAGGAAGGTGACAGCTGCTGGATGCAATTTGCCAAAACTCTTGTTACAGAGTTAGAATAGGGAGCAACTACTGAGGTCATTTTCCACCGCCCCCCCCCCCACCCGCCGCACTGATTTACAAAAAATGTCACATAGAGTTCATGGAGCCACAAAAAACCTGGATTATGTTTCTCTTTCCTCAATTTCATGCAAAAAATATATATAAAGCAGGAAATGTTTTAGATCACATTCAACACAACCAAGGAATTTTGGTTGAACAATTATTCTTTGGAGAGGCATGGAGTTGGCTTTTGTGGATTTTGTCTTAATAAAGCCTGAAGGAATGGCAAAAGGGCAGAAAGTAGACTCAAATAGCAAAAGAGTCCATCAAAACCCAACTTTATATATGGGAAGGTTTCTCTACCTTAACAACCCAACTATTATGGCTTTGGAATAGACGATTCTTTGCCAGGGCTGTCCTGTGCATTGTTAGGACACTGACCAGCATCCGCACTCTCTACCCACCCAATACCAGTGACATCCCTAACCCTGCTGTGACAACCAAAGGATGTCTCCCAAAATGTCCAAATGTGGCTATAGGAAACCATGTCCTCCCATTGAGAAGCCCTGTTCTACAGGACTTGGGGCACTTGACTAAAAATTACCTTGAAGATGGATCCTTTACTAGTTTCAAATCTATGAACAAATGAAAGGCTGAGGAGACTAGCTGTGCCTTGTAGTATATCCTCTATTTGTGTACTCAACACTTTCTGACTATAAATGTTTAATCCTATCAAAGATTGCAGACATAGCTTGCTCATTTTATCTTCCCCAGGGATGTAAAATAAACATATACTGTTGTGGTGGTGCTCTCTGTGTAAATGACATTATAATAAATGCTTTGTAAGTACGAACTCATTTGATTCCTATATCAATTCCAAGACAGGCATTATTATCACTTTCAATTTACAGGTAGGGAAACTGAGATACTTAGAGGTTGAATAACTACCCAGCACTGTGAAGTTTAGAAGCATGAGGACTGGAATTAGAAACCAGACTGTCTCAGGAGATTCACCACTACCATGGTGCTCTTTCAGAACAGGCTAGGGCCTGTATACTATTGGGGGGCAGGACTAAAATGATGAATATTTCAGGCCTCACAGGATCAACTCTGTTCATGCAGTGTATGAACAATAAGGCAACCATGGACAACAAATGGTTTGACTCTGTCCCAATAAAACTTTATTTACAAATATGGGTGGTGGTCTAGATTTAGCATGCAGGCTATACTTTACCAGTCCCTGGGGTAGAACACTTTCAGAGCTGTTTTAACTGTTTTCTCATTTAGAAAAGAGGAGATTGAAACTAGCCCTCCCTCTGTTAAAAACCTTTCTAATTTAGAACCTCGCACAGGGGCTACAGAGATTGTTCAGTAGTTAAGAGCACTGGCTGCTCTTCTAGAGGACTTGGCTTTGATTCCTAGTACCCACATGGTGGCTCACAACTGCCTATAACTTCATTTCCAGGGATGTGATGCACTCTTCTAGCCTCTCTGGGCACCAAGCATGCAAGGGCTACACAGCATGTATGCAGGAAAAACACCCATGCACACTGTTTGTTTGTTTGTTTTTTTTTAAAAAAAAAAAAAAAGAACCTTCTATGATCACCAAACTCTTCTTCCAGCTGTTTACCTTATCTCTCAGACTTGAACTCCATAGAAAGTTTCAGTGGTGGTGGAAACCAGAAAGGGCCTCAATTCTGTGCTTTTTCACTCTTAACACCATTAGATTTCAGTACCAATGGACAGTATTCCATTACAGAATGTAAAGCCTAAATAGATATACCAGTTTCTGGTCATGGTAGTCTGTTAAAAAAAATAAAAAGGGACAGTGTTGATTTTGATCTCTTCATGTCACTGTTTGCTCTGTAAGGATGTCATCTTAACCCTGCAAGAGAAGCTGTCTATCAAAGGCATTGAGCACTTCTCTCTCATGCTGGAGCAGAGGACCGAAGGGGCCGGGACCAAGCTACTGTTGCTTCATGAACAGGAGACACTCACTCAGGTCTGTGAAGTAAGCCCAAAATGATGCTGCTGGTGGAAGCAGAGCCTGTGCTATCTCCAAATGCCCTCCCTCCAGTCCTCTCCCTATAGCTTTTCTACCCCGCCCAGGTCCTCCCTGAAGGAAGCACTACCTTCATAATGCACTTGACACCTCAAAGCAATAGCCCCCTTTTTGCCAATCTGCTGCAGACCTTCCAGATCTGTCATTCAAAGGCCAGGCGGATACTGGAATGTAGCTCTGCAGAGTGACATTTTCTGTTACTGCAATGCTTCTTTTGATCTCTAGTCTCTTCAAAATCATTAAACACAAAATTGTTCCTAAGGGTATGTAAATGAACCAAAGTCATCCAGAACTGAAGACAACATAGATGACTTTGACTATTTTTGGAAGCCTTCAACCACTGCCCCAGTCCTACCCACTAGGAATATGTGATCTACCGATGTGTCCCAATTCCTGGTTCCAAAGATGCTACCCCCATCTGTTCTCTGGGTTGACAAGCCGACTTCTTACTGCTGCATCCAACATACCACCACCACTTGTCTCAACTTTAAACAAGCTGAGCATCTTGTTTGAATATCTAAGTATCTGCAACGTCTTCTTGCATAGGAAAGTTCAGTGAAGAGATAACCCTAGAAAGAGGGTGTGGCGGGGGACATCATCAGCTGAAGCAGCAAGATAGCACCAAGGGCATGGAAGGACATGCTAAAGTGCTTCTAACTTGATACGTAATGAAAAGCTAGTATTTGGGAGCGGGGTGGAGGGATGGCCAGCAGTTAAGAACATGTTCTGCTCTTCTAGAGAACCTGAGTTCAATTCCCAGAACCCACATCAGGTCGCTCACAACTGCCTAGAACTTCAACTCCAGGAGATCTGACACCTCTGGCCTCTTCAGGGACCTGCACTCACATGTACATATGTAACTAAAACTGAAAATAATTCTTTAAACAAAAATCAAAACCTAACACTGCACACATCAATTACCTCAAATAGTCCTATTCTTTTAACAGAATCCAACAGGATATAATGGATTAGGAAAGTTACAATGAATATTGATTGCCATTTCTTTATCTAATCTTGACCTATGATTTCAATCAGATTTAAATCTACATAGCTTTATTTAAAGTCACTTGTAAAATAACCCATGACAAAGCACTCTTAGAAATAGATGGCTTCTTTTATGTATTGTCATAAGGGAAGCATCACTTATGTTCACAACTCCTCAAGTGAAAACTCAGTGTGTATCCATGTTCCCCTGGAAATAGAACCTTAGCCAAACGCTTGAATGTGTGGAAGTTCCCTGAGAGATCATGATCAAAACTGGGAGGAGATGGAAAATGGGAATATGGCAAATTGGGAGTCAATAGAAATGTCTCATTAAGCCCTTTCCACCATGTGACCTGGAGCCCCATCCTACTAGAAAGCTCCAAGTGGCAGCATAGAACACTTGTCAATGGTTCCTCATCTGGAGTGTGCTGAGCAATCAGTTGGCCTGTCATTGATAGTGGGCTATGCCTGATGACTCCTCAAATTCCCTGATCCATCCAACGGTCACAGGTACATGTCATAAATAACCTTTTAGCCTGTGGCAGTAAGTGGTAGAGTGATGTGGGCAGCCCACCAGTTCCTGAATCTAATGGGAGTCCCACAACTTTCCCTTTCCCTTTCCAGTTCTGCTCAAACTTCTGCCTACTGCATGGACCTTGTGGGGAAGCGTTATGGTGATTTAGGTGAACAAAGATTAAAAACTTTTTGTGATGCTCTATATCCAAAACCTAATAAAATGGGTTAAATATCCTGAAAAAAAAAGGCAGCTACATACTTTTGAACCATGCAGGATAATGAAACCATTAGTCTCAGAGCAGGATAAGAATTGGTATGATATTGCTGTGTGTCTAAACTCCTGTTGTCTTCTCTCCTTTCCTGTGCTGCCTTCTCTTTCTTTTCCCAGTCTCTCCTTTGAACATTCCCATAACAAGTCTGTTATGTACAAACCCTGACCCCCAAGTCTGCACCTGGGGACCCCAGCCTCACACAAAAGCCAATTTGAAGATTGTGTTAATGTAGAAAGAAAGGGGATTTTGATTCTGTGGCTCTCAGCCCTTTCTCAGTCAGCACCAAGAAGTTCTTAAATGATGTGTTTGGTTATCCAGGTGACACAGAGGCCTAGCTCCCATAAGATGAGGTGTCTTTTCCGGATCAGTTTTGTCCCAAAGGATCCCATTGACCTGTTAAGGAGAGATCCAGTCGCTTTTGAGTATCTCTATGTTCAGGTAGGTAAAAATTTAGATTGTTCTATATGAATGTTGAGGTGAACATAAAGTGACCTCTTCATTGCTGTTCTTCCTATCACCCACCCAAAGCTCAGTGAAACATAAAATAAGTGTGTGATGCTCTTTACATTTCTATGTTTGGTTTTGACATAACTTTATACTCCCATAAAGGTGTCAAGAATAGTAATCTATACCCTCCATCTAGATTCATTGTTAGTATTATCTCAAGTGTAATTTATATTTAATGCAGGTACATATTCCTTTTCTCTTTCATCACAGAAATTCACACACACAAACATATTTTTTCTACAGCACATGAAAGCTAATTGCCAGAATCATGTATTATTTTTATATTAAATGTGCCATGTATTTTCCAATATAAATTATATATTACATATTTTCTTATATAAATTCTGTTCAATAAACAAAATCAGGAAATAGGATATCGATGTATGTCCCTTGTCTCATCTTTGTTCTTCATCCTAGTGATGCCTGTTGTCCCCCAAATGTCCTTTATGCCATCATTTTTTTCTAGAATAGAATTTACTGTGGAATCTAATTTTGCATGTAGTTTGGTTGTCATGTTTCTTTAGTGTCCTTACATCGGGTCCATCCCTTATCCTCCCTTGACTTCTGTAACATCGAGTTTGGAGAAGTACTAATCAGACATTTTATAGAAATCTGGCCATTTGTGGTTCTCTAGTATTTTCTCATGATTACATTGAAGTTAGGGATTTGCAAAGAATGACGTAAGTGGCTGTGTCCTTCTCAGTGCAGCACACGAGGAGCCACCTGGCGCCACTTTATCCCCTTCATTGTGAGGCTAATGTTGACTCTTACGTGGATAGGATCCTTGTAAAAATTAATGACTTTTCTTTGATAATGAATAAGAAATTTGCGGCAAGTCACTTTGTGACTTTTATCATCTTATATTTCATCAAATTATCACCCACTAATTTTTATTCATAGTATTAATTGGTGATTCTTATTTTAATCTATTGTTATCATGATGAGTTAAAATAATATGCCTAATCTCATTATGTCTTCTTTGTTGATCAGTTGGTATACTATAAAAGTTTTTCGTTCTCTGTATGTTTATTCATTCATTTTCATGCTTAAATTTCTCTGAGACATCGTGATAATGATTAATATTGGAATTAATAATTTTCAAAATTTTAAGATTCTAAGAGAGATATATCTTCTCTAGATGGTCCAGCTTATTATTATTCACACACACACACACACACACACACACACACACACACACACACACACAAAATGAAACTTCCAGGAGTGAGTATCTGGGACAATTCATCTAAGAGGAAATTATTGGTATAGATATATATAAATAAGTTTATGTGATTCAATATTTAGATGTTCCTATACTTTTATGAATCCATCCTATTGTTCTCACTTAAATTTTCCAATGCAATTAAAGTAAACACTAATAATCTATTTGTTGGGTCTGGACAAATGGCTCAGCAGTTAATAGTATTGAATATTCTTCTGAAGGATCAGAATTTGATTCCCAGCATCCATATGGCAGCTAACAACCACCTGTAACTCCAGTTCCAAGGGATCTAATGACCTCTGCTGGCCTCTATGTATGCTGAATGCATGTGGTATATAGACATATATTTAGACAAAATGCCCATACACATAAAAAGAAAAAGAAAATCTCAAAAAGGATCTATTTGTTTAATGTGTAGTACACAGTAATAGAATCACTCCAAGTGTCTGTAAGCATGTCTTTTACCTTCACATACACAAAAGAAGGAGAAAAACTGAGCTAAGAAAGTAGGTATCAGGTGAAAGAAAGATAAAAACATGATAGATGTGGCAAATTAGGTATGTTGACATCAAGTAGCAATAAACTCAAGAGATCAGAAATGAAGTCAGAGAGGAAAAGAAGCAGAATATGCAAGCAGAATATACATTCTAGTATGTAGGGATCCTCAGAAAAGAGCCCAGTAATTTTCTCCACCTCTGTGGTCTTTGAACAAGATTTTTTTTTTAGCTCAAGAGGTTGATTAATGTTCATGAAGATAGCTCTGCATCTCCAAGATAAGTCTAATCCTTTCAGTATATACACCCTGTTTATAAAAAATAATTTAAATGTATATTGCATTTCCAACCTAAACAGTGAGACTATTGTCTTCCGGGTTTTCTCAATGTTAAATATAGGTCATATGCACCCCTGATTTGGCAACAATGTCTTCTGTTTCTCCAGTAGGCCAGGAAACCCAGCCAACTATGACTGCATGAAACAAAGAGTTTGATTCTAAGCTTATTGGTTACTGCATCTTCCCCATACTCCTGCTGAGCATCACTCAGAGGTTAGGTCACCTCCAATAAGACCATGTACTACAATTATTAGCTAGTTAGTCCAAATGAATAGCTCCAGGTACCTGTTAGTATAAAACTGTAGACAGTGAAATACAGGTACGGGCTGTTCTCTATAATTACATTCTCATTTTGGTAACAGGATGGTGCTTTCAAACCATTCGGCTTCTGTTTAAACCCTGCAAGAAGTCCATTGCCTTTGTAAAGAGGAAAACACATGGCTGTGCTTGTCTTGGGGAAGGGAGACAAGAAGTACCTCTAAAGCTCATTATGTTTTGTTTAAGGCATACCTGCTCAAATCAAATGCATGGAGCATTTTCTCATTTGAAAGACATCTTTTATACTAGAGGACTGGACTCAAAATAAGACAACCTTTCTGGAGAGCTTGCCTGGGGACTGGAAGAAAAAAGACTGATGATGTTTCCATTTTCCTGCCTTGGCTTTCATGTGGGTGGTAGATTATGTACGTCTTAAAGGAATAGGCAGCAGGGGAGATGGATAACCATATACTATGGGCGATGGAGACTAAAATCAAGTGACTATCATCTTATATTTCCCCCTCAGAGAATAGGAAATGAACGTTTTTTTGCCTCAGACTCTACTTGGAAATGACTGTATCACAGAATGTGTAGTGCGTTTAAAATAACACATCTGTCTACTAGAAGTCATTGGGTCTCCCGTGTGTCTGTGTTGATTTTTAAGCTACTACAAAGATGCAATGAAATTGCCTGGAGAACAGAAGAGGAAACAGAAGCCACACATAGCACTTTACAAAACCAAAATCAATTTAACTGAGCAGGCTCCTAATGAGAGCAGTCACCATTGGCCAGATGAAGCATGAAGATGCAAACAGATTTCAGTAGTGATAATATATATTCATCTCTGAGTCATTAATAGCCCATGAGGTCTTTTACAGATTTTAGCATATATATTAACAGTAAACTCTAATAATCTAGACTGTTTTAATTTGTAATAATATGCTTGCTGATGTTTGCCCTGTCCACTCTCTATTCAGAAAAAGTTATTTATACCAATTAATAAACAGGATATAATCCATGAGCCACCAAAAATCTTTTTAAACAAGATAATAGCATTGCTTTCCTTTTAAGCATATATTAATTACAAATGAACTTTTTATAGGCCTACAATGGGGCCTGTTAGGACCTCTACTTAGCAAAATGGTTGCTACTATTCACTTGTGAGACTGTATTTTAAGTAATAGATTTAAGAGTAATAAAAGGATGATTAATTTCTCTCTTTATCTCTCTCTAATACACACACACACACACACACACACTGCACACTAACTCTCCAGGGTCATTCTTAACTAATTATATAATAATTAAGTGATTAATTGCCTTGTCAAAAGATTTACTCAGAAGTCTGGTTAAATGCAAGTGTCTCAGTTACTGTTCTATTGCTGTGATGAAACACCATAACCAAGAAAACTTTTTTCAAAACATTTATTGGGGCTTGCTTATATTTTCAGTGAATTCATGCTATCATGGTGTGGTGCATGGTGGCAGGCAGGTAGACATTTTGTTGGAGCAGCAGCTGAAAGTTTATATCCTGATCCACAATCACAAAGCAGAGAGAGATAACTGAGAATGTCATGGGCTTTTGAAACTTCAAAGCCCACCCCAATGATACACACCTACCCTAACATGGCTACATCTCCTAATCCTCCCTAAATAGTTCCACTGACTGGAGATCAAACATTCAAATATATGAGCCTATAGGGGCCATTCTTATTCAAACCACCACAGCAAGGTACAACAGGAATGGAAAAAATGGTTCAGGCCAGAGTTCTTAGAAAAAGTAACAATAATGGCTTATGTTTATATAACACATTCCATTTATGAATTAACCACCTTAGAGCTATCACAGGAACATTGCAATTTAGTTAGCTCTCAAGTTAGCTGTTTTTCAGAGTTCACCTATTTTTAGATAAGAAAACTAACATGTCATGGCTAAAGAAAATGTAATGATAGTTGACAGAGCCTACCATCAAACCTGGGCTTTTATACACACACACACACACACACACACACACACACACACACACACACACACACACACACTTCTGTTTTTAATCTAGGGCTAGGGCAAAAGCTCAGTCCATAAAGAACAGAAAGACATGAGTTTGGTCCCCAGAGCCCACATTAAGCAAAAAGTAAGACGTGGCAGCACACACTTGCAATCTCAGCATTAGGGAAGTAAAGACAGGCAAATCCTGGATGATTGCCAGCCAGCTAGCCTAGCCTAGGAATTTACCTAGCCTTGGTAAATTCCAGGCCAGTGAGAAATCCTGTCTAAATATAAAAATATAATAATAAAAAGGTGGATGGCTCTTGAGGTAGAGCATCCAAAGTTGTCCTTTGACCTAATACACATGGGCACACATATGCCTGTGCACCCATACATACATGTGCATCTAAGCATGTGAGCATACACAAACACACACCACATTCTGGGCTTCCAGTTCTCTTACAGGACTGTATAAAACAACCTTATCTAGGCTGTTAACACGTTGGAGCCAAGATTGACTGCCTCAAGCACTTAGGCACGATTGTGAAAACCAAAATAAACAAAACAAAGTGGCAGCTTTAAATTGTTTTTGAGGGTATGTCCCAACCATGCTAGGTCTTGTTTCTTGACAGACACATTTCAGATACGAGCTGCTGTGTGTTCCAGGAAGCATCAAGATTTTTCAGGGAAACAAAGGTGAAAGACCTTATTAGGGATGGATTGGGAGGACAATTGGACTCAGCAATGAAGCAGTGGACTGAGAAATATGCATCCATTGTATGTAGAGACAAAGCATAAGATGTGCTAAATATGCAGTGTTTAAATATTACATACATGGTCCTAACTTCATAAAATCAGTATATGAGGTGATTACTAACATGCTTCTTTTAGAAAGGAAGTAAAAATAATTGCAGCATGTGTTTCCTTTTGATGTCTACTTGAGACAAGGCAAAAAATGCAATAAGGATGCAGGAGAGGGGATATGTTTTTCTCTTACTAGAACCCAGTTTTCAAAGTAAAACTAAGTTAGCACACATATAGAATCTGCTTACATAGTCTGCATGTTCCGTCTACTTCCCCCCTTTGCTCCTAACAAGAGAAAGGAATACATTACTCAAGTCTGGTCACATGGGACCTTAGCATTTTGTAACACATGCTCAGCCAGTTTCATTGATTGTGATGCAGTCTGGTGATTTTGCCCAGGCTAGTCTTGAATTTGCAGTTCACTGTGATGATCTGAATGAAAATGGCCCACATAGGCTCATGTATTTAAATGCTTGGTCCCCTGTAGTGGTATTGTGTTCCCCAAAATATTGTGCACCCTAATAAATTATCTGGGGTCAGAGAACAGAACAGCCACTAGATACAGAGGCTAGAAAATGGTGGCACTCCCGCCTTTAATCCTAGCATTCCAGAGGCAGAAATCCCTCTGGATCTCTGTGAGATCAAGGCCACATTGGAAACAGCCAGGCATGGTGATACACACCTTTAATGCCAGAAAGTGAGCCTTTAATCCCAGGAAGTGAGGGCAGAAAGCAGAAAGGTATATAAAGAGTGAAAACCAGGAACTAGGCTGGTTAAACATTCAGGCTTTCGAGAAGCAGTTCAGCTGAGATCCATTTGGATGAGGACTCAGAGGCATCCTGAGAAAACAGGATGAACTGAGGAATTGGTAAGGTGAGGTGGCTGTGGCTTGTTCTGCTTCTCTGATCTTCCAGCGTTCACCCCAACAACTGGCTCCAGGTTTGTTTTTATTAATAAGTCCCTTTAAGATTCCTGCAACAGTCCCCAGTTGGTGGAACTGTTTGGCAGGACTAGGAGGTGTGGACGTGTTGGAGGAGGTGTGACATTGGAGGTGGGCTTTCAGGTTTCAAAAGCCCTCATTCCTAGTTAGCTCTCTGCCTCCTTTTGAATAAGTGTGCTCAACTACTGCTCCAGCACCATGCCTGCCTGCCTGCTGACATGCTCCAGGCTATGATGGTCATGCACTCACCCTCTGAACTGTAAGCCCCCAGTAAACTCTCCATTCTATAAGTTGCCTTGTTCATGATACTTAGAACAGCAATAGAAAAGCTAAGACATCCACCCATCCTAGCCTCACCAGTAGCTGAAACTATAGGGTGTAGCACCATACGTGGCCGACATTTTGACCCTAGCCACAAATTCTGTGAACTAAACAAACTGATTCCAAGAGATGTGAAATAACTCCCACATAATCACACATTTGAAATGGGAGGGCTGTAGACATTGAAATGAATGGAAGGTTTTAATAACTAGCCTTACAGCATACACCAATGTCCTGCGATAAAGCACACCTCTTATAATCCTCAAGCAGCTCTAGTGAAGTAGTTCCTATGAGCCCCACTCACAGATGAATAAACCGAGGGCAAGAGTTCAAATAAATGGTAAGATTTCAAATGTGATCGCTTTTGTTGGCAAAGCCAGGACTTTGATACTGGCAAACCCCCAGTAGCACACAAAGTAAGAATAAGAAGAACATAAATAAATGTTTTAAAGTGTGCTTACAGCTTCCAAGCACAGCTCAACTATTTTAGTCCTCACAACACCCTGCTGTTAGAGAACACTATCACTCCATTTTAGAGAAAGGAAAAGTGAGGCACCATCAAGTTAGGAACTTGCCCAAGGCCACACCTTAGGTGAAATGAATGAAGTTTGTAAGCCAGGATTCCAAGTCCAGCAGCAAAAACTGCATTCCTCCACAATGCTTCTGTCTTCAGCTGCAGCACCTGTGTTTGGCAATTCCATCCCTAAATTCCTAATTATTTTTTACAAAAAGCTAAATATTTAAATAACAGCTTGTCGATGGCTGTTAAATGTTTTGTGTGGTCTATGTTTGTGAAATTAAATACTGACGCGGCTCCAAGCAGCACGGTGGAGATGTTTCCACATTTAGCCTCAGTGCCTTAGAAGTGAAGGTTGAAACACTGGGGGAATGCGTGTCACCTGCTCCTCTAAAGGGGAGCACGAGACAGCCCATCCTCTGATGAACTGCGCCCTCTGCTGGTCTCTTCACAGAGTTGTAACGACGTTGTTCAGGAGCGATTTGGACCCGAGCTGAAATACGACATTGCCTTGCGGCTGGCCGCGTTACAAATGTACATCGCCACTGTCACCACCAAACAGACGCAGAAAATCTCCCTCAAATACATTGAGTAAGTGTTCACACTTAATGCAGTGAGATGCTGTGGGGTTTTCTTTGCTTTTTTGTATCTGTTTGCGGAGTTCATCTTGCTTGTGGTCTACTATTTAAAAACTAGTGGCAAAATATACAAATATTTTGTCTTTTATAATAGAAAAGATCCATTTCTCACTTTATCCACCTTTAGAAAATTGCAGGCAAGGTGAAAGTAAATTTTTTAATGAAAGTAAGCCCCAGAATGATGGCTCACTCCTGCCATCCCATCAACTTTAGCAATAGAGCATACTGAGACAGAAGTATGGGTACAAGACCAATTGAGACCACATAACAAGATTTTGTCCCCAAAACACCAAGATGAACAAACAGCAGAGCCTGGTGGTACAGGCCAGAAATTTTAACTACTCATGAAGCGGAGGCAGGAGAATCCCAAGTTCTAGTGCTACAGACTAAGTGCAAGGCGAAGCTGAGCAACTTCCTGAGATCCCATCTCAGAATGAGGAAAAAATTAGTAACAGCACATTTGGCACATAGGACTTGCTTCAAAGATAAATGAGTAAACTAGGTATAAAATGATTAAGTACCTTGTTACTTTCTCAAGTCACAGGACAGGGGTGGGGCTGGGACGGGGTTAAATCCCAAGCAGTGGGACTACTCTTGTGCCTTAGTTTGTGTGATAGACTGAATTGTTGTTGGAGCCTAGTTAGGCTTGGCCACGCCTCTAAAATACACCAATTGAAGAGACAAGTAATAGGAAAAGAGAAGAAAGAAGATGAGTTTCACGTGGTAGAACTGAAAAGAGGAACAAAGACAGACCGGAGTCTGTATTCAGGGTCCTGACATGAGGGTTAGATTTAAGTAAGTTTTAAGAGAGGGCAAGTCTTCTATGTAACTCGGCAGTCTTAGTCAAGGTGTGGTCCTGCTCACCATTTCTTCATCATTGTCTGCTGTCTGTGGCATGGTGTTCAGATAAATTGTGGGGACTGGGTGAACTTTCTTCCTAGGAGGCAAGTTCCTTGTCTGCATGGATGATTCTTCAGCCATTGCCTTCTTCCAGTGTGATATTCCTAGAAGAATTCCATTTCCTAGGGGTTCTTTTGTCTTAATAGTCTGGTAGAACAAAGGATGGGCACAATTGCCTCTTTAGAATCCTTTCTCTCTTGCCAGGGTGGTTATAGAGCAGTGGTTCTCAACCTGTTGGTCGAGACCCCTTTGGAGGTTGAAAGACCCTTTCACAGGGGTTGCCTTAGACCATCAGAAAACATAGATATTTACATTACAATTCATAATAGTGAAAAATTATTGTTATGAAATAACAATGAAATAATTTTATGGTTGGGGGTCAGCACAACATGAGGAACTGTATTAAAAAGGGTCGCAGCATTAGGAAAGATGAGAACCACTGTTACAGAGAGACCTTTTCTGAAGAGTCTTCACAACAGGAGATGAGCTGGGCCTGGTGGCTCACACCTATAGTCCTAGCATTGAGGCAGTCTGAGTTAGGGGAATCACCAGTGTGAAGCCAGCCAGAGTTACATAATAAGACCTTGTCAAAAAAAAAAAAAAAAGAATGAGCTGGAGAAATGACTCAGTAGTTAAGAGCACTTGCTGCTCTTGCACAGGATCGGAGTTTGGTTCCTAGCACCCATATGGTGATTTACAACCATTTGTAACTCCAGTCCCAGTGCACACTGGCACCCTCTTCTGGCATTTGTGGGCACCAAGCATGTATTTAGTGCACATACAAGCATGGAGGCAAAACACTCATACACATCAAATAAAAAGAAATCTTGAAGAAAAGAATGCCACAATCAGGAAGCATAGTGCCTTGATATCTGTGTAGGGAAAAAAAACCCTGTGAAGTGGCTGGCAAAGATGTCACACAGCAAAGTTGACTCTGTGAAGTTTATCTTGTTTGTAAACTTTGGATGCCTTCTCTTGCTGAGTATGCCATTTTACTACCAGCATCCCTCTTTGGCCAAGAAAGACCCTATTTTCCTTGAAAATAGGTGGTTTATTTTGCCTCCAGCTGATGAATCTATTTAAGGGTCATCCTTTAAGAGAGAAGGCTCAGTCTCTCAGCAAGAGATTCTCTAGCCTAAAGCAAATACCACCTACTTCATCCCAGCAGCTCTTTATGCTAACAAAAAGGTGAATCATGTGTCAGTTCTTATGGCCAGACTGAATCCATATCTCAACGCCATGCTAAAAGCCTTGAATTTCTCCCCATCCACGCTCAAAACATGGACAAATGAATACAATCCCATTTTCCAAAGGCACTTTCCCAGGGGCTGCTTGTAAAGTACCATGATGCCACACTACCTAACCTGGGGCCTTTTCTCAACAGGCTTTTGAGCCTGGCTTGGGGAAGACTACAGCTCCAATTTGTTGCCACTGTTTGGTCAATTACAAATGTACCTATTGCCACCTAAACAATGAAAAGCCCTCCCATATGGTTCACTCTCCCGAGTTGTCCATCCCTTTTCCCCCATGGCATACACATAATGACTGTAGTCTGAGAAACTGTCTGTTCAAAAACAGGTCTCAATATCAGGTGGACACATTCACATATTCCTTCTACTATCTAAAGTACTATCTGGGTACAGATAAAACTGGCTGCCATTTGAAAAGGTGCCTACACAACTCAAGAACATTCAGACAACTAAAATGCATTTGGGGGACTGGGAACACAGCTCAGTCACTAAAGTGCTTGCTGTGTAATCATAAGGACAAGAATTTGACCCCTAGAACTCATGCTTAAAAAGCTGGTGATCCATGTAGCATGGGCATGAAATCCTAGCACTGGTGAGGCAGAGACAGGTGGATTCCTGGGACTCGCTGACCGGCAAGCCTAGCTTAATCAGTGAGTCTTAAGCCAGTGAGAGGCCCTACCTTCAGAAAAACTAGCACATCTTTCTGTTCCTACTGTCTAGCCACTTCTTCCCAAGTAGAACATTATGTAGACCAGAGCCTCTCAAAGATAACTAGCTTCACTCGAAACAGTGTTGATAGCCGTCAGATCTTCTATCAAATACTGATTGAGCATTGTATATAGTATTTGCATCAGATAGTAGAAAGCACTAATTTGTGTTAAATATAATCCCAACCATCAAGGAACTTGTGATCTGAGTGTAAAGATGAGACATAAGGATATGGTAGTGGAAAAACACACGTCCGAGAAAGTCTGGACAGTGCAAATCAGTCTTCATGGGTTAAGTGGAGGTTAGGTGGGCAGAGAAGGAGGTAAACCTGGAAAGATAGGAGAGTGGGGATCACTGTGATCAAAACATGTTGTAGAAAACTCTCTAAGAAAGTATTTTAAAAGACACAATGATATGAAAAATGTTCATGTAAGATAATAATATAGCGCAGGGGCACTTTCCTGGAATGAATAAAGCCTTTGGTTCCTGCCTTACTGCTGCACATCCCCCCATGCGTGTGTGTATATATATATATATATATATATATATATATATATATATATGTTTTATATGCGTGTGTATTTTATCTTTTTATTTTGAATTTTCTCTTTATTCTTATCTCATATAATATATCCTAACCACAGCCTCCCCTTCCTCCAGTCCCCCAAGTACCTCCCCACCTCCCTTCTCCCCCAGATCCACTGCTTCTCTGTTGCCCTTCAAAAATGAGCAGCCCTCCCAGAGATATCAACTGAACATGGCATAAGAAGGTGCAGTAAGACTAGGCACAAACCCTCATGTCAAGGCTGGACAAAGCAACCCAGTAGGAGGAAGAGGGGCCCAAAAGCAGGCAAAAGGGGCGGAGACAGCCTCCACTCCCACTGTTACGAATTCCATAAGAACACCAAGCTATTCAGCCATAACATATATGCAGCGGACCTAGGTCAGACTCATGGAGGCTCCGTGATTCTCTTCAGTCTCTGTGAGCTCCGATGAGCCCTGCTTAGTACATTCTGTGGATGGTATTCTCCTGGTGTCCTCCATCCCCTCTGGCTCCTACAATCCTTCCTTGACCTCTTCCATGGGGTTCCCCGAGCTCTGACCAATGTTTGAGCATGGGTCTCCTCATCTACTCCCATCAGCTTCCAGAGAAACTTTCTCTGATGATGACTGGACTAGGTACCAATCTATGAGTATAGCAGAATATTGTTAGGAATCATTTCATTGACTTTTAGATTTTTGTTTTGTTGTTGTTGTTGTTTAATTGTTTTTTTGGTCAGCCATGTTTTATTCTACCCTAGGTCTCTGAGCCCTAGCACTGTCCCCCATATATGTGTTATATGTATATAAGTGTGTGTGTGTGTGTGTGTGTGTGTGTGTGTGTGTGTGTGTGTGTGTGTGTGTGTCTTTTAAAATAAAGACACAAATATCCCTAAGGCAAGCACAATCAATGAAGACAGTAAGGTCAAGTTGAGGGCAGCAAAGAAAGCATATTGGAAATACCTGAATATAGGATGTATTTAAGAGACTCAGAAATTGGTTGAACAAAATGATTCTTTAATGTCCATTGTTAGTGGTCTTTCTTTTTTTCTTTTCTTTTTTTCTTTTCTTTTTTTTGGGGGGGGCCAGGGTTTCTCTGTGTAGTTTTGGTGCCTATCCTGCATCTCGCTCTGTAGACCAGGCTGGCCTCGAACTCACAGAGATCAGCCTGGTTCTGCCTTCCTAGTGCTGGGATTAAAGGCGTGTGCCACCACTGCCCGGCTGTTAGTGGTCTTTCTACAGAGTGAGGAATATGTACATTTCTTTTTAAATGTGAACATGTGTATCAATGATCCAATAATGTGTTTTTTACATGTAAACTAAAAGTTGCCTCCCTGTCTTACCAAGAGTCCATTTGTTCTAACAAACAGCAGAGTGTCAATTGGTCCTATATAAGTCATCATCACAAGAACGAGGAACGAATGATGCACTTTCTGTTGCAGGAAAGAATGGGGACTGGAGACATTTCTTCCATCTGCTGTGCTGCAGAGCATGAAAGAGAAGAACATCAAGAAAGCACTTTCCCACCTTGTCAAAGCAAATCAAAACTTGGTACCACCGGGTAAAAAGGTATCCCAGTCACATCCTAATAGGATCTAGATTTTAAGCAGAGAGGCTTGCATGCATTCAAGAAATCATTTAAAATTAGCCTGTGAAGAACACATTTGGCACACCATATTTCAAGAAGAACTTCATACACTATTCAGATATGTCTAAAAAGGAACAAAAACTACCAATCCTTCCAGAAATCTATTTCTTTCTCACAAATTGGAAACTACTTACTGTGTGGGGCAGGAGGTATGGGGTGTTCACATGAGATTTACAGTCAGGGGATTAAATCACAAGATAATTGTACATTTTTATCCTGTGATTGGTTACTGCTCAGACTAACTTTAATGCACAACAGCCAATAAGGGGTGCTGCAGGCCAGTTACTGTATGTATTACAGTAGGGATTCTCTCTACAGGAGCTGTGAACATTTGGTAAGAGGTTGTTCCTTGCCAAGATATAAGGGTGCTATGCTTGGCATTGTGAAATATGAAGCGGCATCCTTGATCTACTCTGGCCAGTGTCACCCCTCCCTTAATTATTATAAACAAAAATGTGTCCAGATATTACCAAATATGCCCTAATGCCCAAAATCACTACCACCAACATTCCCAGTGACAACCATTGGATTAAATTCTACAATGGAAAGACAAAGCAAAGTTATTTCTGTTACTCATCATTGGTGTTAAAATCCTTGTATTCATTTCTGTTTTCATTAAGTAGGAGACACACAAAGACCATTTAAAAGTATACTGTTGGTCAGAAAAAGAAAGGTATGGTTTAGAAGTAATGAGAGAGCAAAGATTCCAGTAAGTAGAAGGACAAGGAGCCTTAAATCTCTGAGCCTATAAAATAGCAAACAGCCTGCGTACATATTGCAGCTGATATGGGCTATTGAAACTTGCCTGACCCCAGTACAACTCACCATCCATGTGGGTAGTTCTTTGGTCTAGTATCTTATTTTCTGTCATTTTATAAAGCTTCACCCCATAAACTTTTTTTAAACATATAATCAAGTTCAGTACACTCTCAGCCACATTCTCCTTCCCAGTTTCAAAGGAAAATGTCTCCTAGCACCTCACTATGAGTACTTAGCTTCAGAAAAATAGCAAGATACCACGGGTCAAGAGTTTTATGATTCCCAGGGCTGGGAGATTGCTCAATTGGTAAAGCTTTGCTACACAAGCAGGAAGACCGGAATTCAATCCCAGAACCCATGTGGTGACTAACATTTATAATCCCAGTGCTGGGAAGATAGACAGAGGCTCACTGGTGCTCACTGGAACTCACTGGCCAGGCAGCCTAGCCTACTTAGTGAACTTCAGGCCTATGAGATACCATCTCCAATAAAACAAGGTGACTGGCTTCTGAGAAATCACACCTGAGGCTGTCCTCTGTCTTCCACGCACACATACACTCATATATATGCACACCCTCACAAACACACACACACACACACACACACACACACACACACACACACACACACACACACACACACACACACTTCAGTTTTACAGTTTTTGTTCTTATTTGCCCAAAATTGATTTCTGTTAACTAATTTGATTTGGTTTATTTTCCAAGCCTGGTCTATCTACTGGTCTTGTAATAATTTGGCAACCACCAATTTTAGTTTGTTCTATCATTTATCATGTACCAATTGTGTGTGTGTGTGTGTGTGTGTGTGTGTGTGTGTGTGTGTGTGTGTGTGTGTGTGTGTGTGTGTTTGCTATAAAAAGTAGCATTTCTAGCCATGAGTGAGTGGTTTGCAGAAATTGTTTCAGGTTTTTTGGTGAGACTTAGAGTGAGTGAACAGTGCAAAATCCCAACTACACAAAGGGCAATACCTGTCATTTTAGTTATCAAGAGTTGGAAAGTCATGCATGGCTAAAACAGAATTTTACAATCTTTGCTACTTAACAGTGATCATCTATACCTTGTTGAAAATTTCACCCTGACAAACATTCCTTTTGCATTCAGTATGAAACAAGGACACATTTCTAGTCAAATTTCTCTTTTTTAAAATGATGTAAAAGCCTACAATTTTGAAGTCTCTAAAAATTGGTTCTACCTGGATATTCGTAATTCAACTCAGAGAATTCTCAACAGATTTTCAGAGTTTAATTAACAAAAAAAGGATTTACATAGCAACCTCAGACAGTTTTCCAGTGGTTGGAGTTCAGAAAGTTCATTCTTCCTAGAAACTTGAAAAGAGTGGAAGAAACTTGAGAGGGGAGGTTGAGCAAGCCTGTTAAAGACTTTGCATAGATTTCAGAAACCCCCACAAATTCATGTGCAGGTGAGTCTCCTGTGTTATTGGAGAATTTATAGGCCACATGCCACATTCCTTTGCCCCGATCACTGCTGGAAAGTCCCTTGCCTATTGTAACCTCCCAGTGGGTAGTCATGTCTTACTTTGTTCTCACTTGTTAAATGGCCTAACCCATGCACCTACCCCCCCCACACACACACACACTTCTCCAGAAGCAGTCAAGCTTGAATCTTTGTGTCAAATTGCAGTTTGACACCAGAAAATCCAGGATATAGCAATTTGCTACCCTTCATACTGAAGAGTCTTTCTCACATCCCATCTCCCCAATAAAAGCATCCTTTGCGACTGGAGGTGAAACTCAGTTGATAGACAACCCAGAGCCCTGGACTCTGCCCAAGCATGAAGTGAGCATGGTGGCACACACCAGTAATTCCAACACTCTAGAGTTGAAGGCAAGAGGATCAGAAGTTCAAGGTTATCTTTGGCTAAATAGTAAGCTTGAGGGTAGCCTAGGATACATGAAACCATGTCTCAAAAAAAAAGCATGCTTCTCTTGTGCCTTTATTTCCGAAGCAGAAAGGGCCCCACCCACTAGAGTCCACGTTTGAGTTCTTTTTTCTCTCCTTAGCTGTCTGCATTGCAAGCCAAGGTCCACTATCTCAAGTTCCTCAGTGACCTGCGACTATATGGAGGCCGTGTGTTCAAGGCAACGTTAGTGGTAATTGCATTTCCTTTCTTTCTTTCTGGAGCCACAGAGGCCTGCAAATATCACGGCATGGGCTGTCTTCAAGGAGTTGTCCCTTGTGACAAAAACAAAGAGTCTGGCAATCTTTCCTGGTTAGGATTGAAGTCTGAAGATAGTCTGAAGACAGCTTGAGAAACATTCAAACCAGATAGCGTTGCTGTAGCAGTCCCTGTAAAAAGAAATGCAAAGAAACAAGGAAATCAAAAGGACTCTTAACAATGATGACTTTTCATCACTGAGCCAGAATGGGAAAAATTTGCAAGTTTCACTTCTAAATGCTTCTGATGTTTATAAATATATTGTATCATGATAATGTTTACTTTCTATGTTATTCATAATTTATCAGCATCTCCATATACTCATATATGAGTCCTTCTAATTGGATGATTTAGTACAGTGTGACCCAGAAAAACTTTCTAAAGAAAACAATGTGATCTTATGAAAACAGACTTTCAGACTGAGATTTACATAGTGCTTTAGAAGTCCAGGCTTTGAAATATTCTGTCATTCTCTTTTCCTCAGCAGGCAGAAAAGCGCTCAGAAGTGACTCTTCTGGTTGGTCCCCGGTATGGCATAAGCCATGTCATAAACACCAAAACCAATCTGGTGGCTCTTTTAGCTGACTTCAGCCATGTCAACAGGATTGAAATGTTTACTGAAGAGGAGAATTTGGTGAGGGTGGAGTTGCACGTGCTAGATGTGAAGGTGAGCCTTTCAAATGTTGACCCATAGTCCTGGCTTGAACCGCTCATTTCTGATAACATTGATGGCAGTCACCATACTGGAAAGAATTGATATATGCAGGGCCTCAAAGATAATATATTGTGAAAAAATAAAAAATAAATCCATACAATTCCATTCCAGGGACTCTAGTACTCATTAAATTGCTGTGTGATTTGGGGATAGGTTGTTATATTTCTTAGGGCACAGTTTCTCCATCTATGCACAAAAAAGCAAGTCATTATCTCTCAGACCCTTCTTCTCAGACTCACATAAGGAGTCAGTGAGAGTTCCCCTAGCTTCATTAGAATTCTCATTCTCTTTGGTTAAGTTGGGATACCCAACCCTAAAGTCACTCTCACTATGGCAGAGTTGGAGAAATGGATCAAGGGACACTGGGGTGATTGTAATGAGTTTCTGCAGAGCAAATCAGAATGTACTAGCATGCTCTACAGCAGGAAGAGATTACCATGACAGAGAGAATGGAGGCTCACATGTCACCTGTGCAGATGGGATGTCATGTCCTTAATTCTAGATGGCTCCAATTGACTTCCTAGCCAAACATAAGTATGGCAAGATTCTTGGAGTGCCTCTCCTAGTTCATGGCCCAAAATGCTGAGAGAAATAGTCACATTGTAGGGAAAGGACATAATGGATGAGAACTAGATATTGTCACTAGTAATAGGAATAGTATGTCCCAATCAGAAATGACTGAGGAGACCCTGCTAATGGTCTCCTCTCTGGACTGACAGATAATGGGTAGCTTAGAGACTAAGCAGAGACTTCAGTTATGTGGAAAGGACAATTCATGGATTTTGGATGGGAAGTGTTGTTCCAATAACCAATTGCATGGAACCTGGCCATTGTCCTACTCCTAAGAGTGAGAAGTAGAGACTTGTCACTTTGCTGTCTTGGCCTTTTTGTTGCCTGCTTTTTTCTATTCCCATATTTCTGCCTCCTTTGTTCTTTCTTCCAACAAGAACACATCCCTGCAAGCCAATGAAAAAGGTTGTCCTATGAGCATTTCCTTCTATACCTAGGATATGTGGCCTCATATGAGCTCATTGTTTCCAGTGTTAGCATGCTCTTCCCAGCTCTCAGCTCTAGTTTATGTTTGTGTAAATTTACAACTTCTTTTAGAAACATCCTTTTCTTAGCTCTCTTTGACACTTTCTACAGTTATAGTAAAAATTGTGGCTTGCATTTTATTTCTCTTGAACACTCTTTTTCATCACTAATCCCACATTTTAAATAAGATTTTTTAAAGTGTGTGTGTGTGTGTGTGTGTGTGTGTGTGTGTGTGTGTGTGTGTGCGCGCACGCGCACGTGCGCTTTTGTAGGCCAGAAGAAGGTATTGGCTCTCCTGGATCTAGAGTAACAGGCAGTTGTGAGCCACCAGGTGGAAGTGTAGGAAACCAAACTCAGATGCCCCCGGAAGAGCAGTACAAGCTGTCAAGCAGAGCCATCTCTCCAATCTCATGAATCTCAAATTTAATATTTCTGAGGATTTCAGGTAATGGGTTTGATTCTTGGTAACTGAGATAACTTATCCTTAACTATTACTCTTTAGACATTTAGCTATTGTAAAAGAAAATCTATGTTTCATGAGGCTTGGTACTCATTTCTTTCCAGAATGAGTTGGAAGAGAATTTTAAATTCAGTCCATGAATTCCCATAAGCACAACGAGCACATGTGAACTCAATGTTGTTTCTGTTATGGTCACCTTTCCTGCTGCAGAGAACGGGTGCATTCTCATTTGCTCTGGAGAAATCCTTTCCCAATGTTCCTAATACCCTTAATTCACTCCTCCCTACGTGGCAGTGCGGCTCAGGCTAGGTCCTCTGCTTCTTTCGGAGCTCTTCTGCCAGTTATGTCAACTCCTCTGTGAAGGCAGCAGGCGTTGACAATTGTGTCTCCTGAATGTTTTCTCAGTAAGGCACCTTGTATTGCCTTTGAGTTTCTCCCCTCATTACATTGCTCCAACGGAATGTTTGCTTAGTAACTTCCTTTGCTTACAGTTCATAAGCATTTATAAATACTTTAGGCAGGAAGACTAATTAAAAATTCTTCCTTGTGTGTTTCTTTGTTGTTCAGCCCATCACACTCCTTATGGAGTCATCAGACGCCATGAACCTGGCCTGTCTGACGGCTGGATACTACCGGCTGCTTGTGGACTCCAGAAGGTCGATATTTAACATGGCCAACAAGAAAAATGCAGGCACACAGGACACAGGTATTTTCTTTCTGAATTCATGAAGTGCTGACTGACCCTTGTACTCACCTTTTGAGAACTCACCCAACAATAGTAATCAGTAACAGAATTCAATAGTCTTAATAATAAGTCTTATACTTAAGAATGCTGATTCCAAGGGCTGGGGAGATGAGAAGTGCATTCCACACAAGCATGAGGACCTGAGTTCCAATGCTCAGAGCTCACATAAAGCTAGACACATGATATGTATCTGTATTCCCAGTGCTCCTACAACAAAATAAGAGGCAGCAACAAAACAATCCAGGAGAGCTTGAGGACCAGCCAGCCTGGAGTATACAGCTCAGCAGCAAACAAGAAAGAGAGCATGCCGTAAACACAGTAGAAGATAGGAACAACACCTACAGTTGTTCTCTGACCTCCACATGCATACCATGGTATATGCGTGCCTCCATATACAGACATGTATGTGAACATACACATACATCACACACGCGCGCGCGCGCACGCACACACACACACACACACACACACACACACACACACACATACACACATGGAAATTGTGTAGAGTGCTTACCTAGCACATGTGAGACACTTGTTTCAATCCCCATTGCTATGAAGAAAAGAGAAAAGCTAGAGCTGTACCTATAAAAAAATATAATATCCAAATATAAAACAAAGCCGTTAAGTACTGATGGCATTGATTAACTATTAAAAATAAACATGCCGATTTACCCACTGCACCTAGAATGTAACTTGGAAATGACAGGTACTCACTTCAAAGGCAGTGGTTTTATTGCTGTGAACTCTTGATAGTCCTTTTCCTATTCTTTTTTCTTTATTTTTCTTGGTGCTTATGAGATGGAACCCAGGTCCTCACCTAGTCCTACATACTAGACAGACACTCTGACACTAAGCTACTGTCATGGTCCTGTGACTAAATCTTTCCTGCCTCACTGTTAATTGTCCAGGACCCTGAGAACTAAGTTCCCTGCTGTAGAGTTTCTCTTTTCTTTAAACTCCTAGACTAGAGCTTTGACATCTTATGAGTTCACTAATTTACACTAATTTTCTTATGTATGTAAGCATTTATTTAGTGACAAAGTATATAGCCCAAGCTAGGCTGGAACTCACTATGTCCCAGGCTAATCTGAAGTCATGGCATTCCTGGCTCTGCCTCCAGAGTGCTGGGATTCTCAGTGTGAGCCACCAAACATGGTTTGGACTTGGAAGTTCTCAAAGGAATTTCTTCTACCCTGTCACCATCTGGGAGCCATAATATGGACATTGATAAGGCAAAACTATCACAGAGTTCATTCCAGCTACTTGATAGGACAAAATTCTCCCAGAAGGCAAGGAGGACCATAGGTCTTAAATTGACTATTCCAGTGAGTGCATGTAGTTATAATTATTTTCTTCTCTCTGCAGTGGATGCCCAATAAATATGGCTAATAGATGCTACCATACAAATCAGAACTACTGAACAATGACAAAATTAGAATTGAGGGTCCCACAAATAGGACTTCTGTTTTTAGAAAAATGAGAACTGCCAGCTACACATAGTAGCACACCTGTAATCCAAGTACCCAGGATTTACTCAGTGATAAATCACTAAGGAGCACCATGAGTCTGAGGCCAGCCTGAGCTACATAGAAAACTCCAGGTCAGCTAGAGCTACATAACAAGACTCTGTCTCAGAATAACAACAATAGCAATAATAATAATAATAATAATAATAATAATAATAATAGAAAGAATTCTAGGGCTGGTGAGAGAGCTCAGTGGGTAAAGGCAATTATTGCCAAACCTAAAATTCTGCATTTGAGCTCCAGGCCGCACATGGTGGAGGGAAAGAACTGATTTTGCAAATTGTCCTCAGACCTCTACATGCTTGCAATGGCGTGCGCATACACACACACACACACACACACACACACACACACACACACACACACGTATGTATGTATGTATGTATGTATGTATGTATTAAGAATTATTGAGAACAAATTCATTGTCACTATTTCTAAAGGAAAAAAGGAAAGGAAACATCCTTTCATTTTCAAACTGAGTCCAAAATATAAATCTTCATTGTAGTATATAGATACATATCTGTACATATAGACCCATGTAATTTTTATTATGATATTTGGGAAACACAGGAGTTTTAGCCATGGATAAGGGGTACTCATACCAAAAGAAAGAAAGGGAAGGGAAAAAGATGCTGAGAAGGCAGCTTTGGCTTTCCAGGCCACTTTAAGTGTTAATGGATTTTCAAATTTCTCTAAGTTTGAGTTTCCTCATTCATATAATTCTACTAAAAGTTTAGCTTGGGAAGTAAGAATTAGAAAAAAAAATCTGTGTATAATGCTTAAAATGATGTTCTGTGATTCCAATAATAGTTGGTGGTGGGGAAAAAATGATGCAAAAATAATAATGAAAGTCAAATAAATACAGAGGGGAGAGGAATATACAAAGAGGCAGCGAGAGGCCCTGAGAGATGTAAATGACGAAAAATGATGTAGGGTGTAGCTTAGTGGTCAAGCAATTACCTAGCATGCACAAGGCCCTGGGTTCCATCCCCAGGGCCACATAACAAAAAAAAAACTTATTTAAAAAAGGACAGAATGAAAAGGAAGTGGTAAGTACATACACAGAGTCTTGTGGTGAACATTTTTACAACCATGTTTTTCATTGAGGGAGATTTACAGCCATTCAACAATGACCTTTGAGATTCCAAAGAACAGTTGGGCAATTTAATGCAATCCTTTCACATTGGAAAACTAGTGTCTGGGCTTTTATTTTCAAATCATAAAGTTTACCCAGAAAATAAATCCTCTTTTTCCCATGAGATATGAAATTGTACAGGTGCAGGGACAAAAGGAAACCAAGCACTCCAAAAATTGTTACAGTAGTCTTAGTGCCGTCCAATTTCTAGTGACACATGATGTGATGTTCATTTAAAAGTGGGAAGCAAAATGGCTTAGTCATTGTAGGCATTATTACTGGGAGAAAGAATAGAACTTTAGCCTCTCTGTGGTGTTTCTTAACTTTACAAGAGTGAAAGTACAAATACATTCTCTATACACATTCCTCACTCTCACAGATATTGGCATGGACAAGCCACCAAAAGAACAAAATGGTGGAACAGTAGATAGTCTGGGATTTAGTGTGATAGTCAATTTTCGCTGCCAATTTGTGCCTGCATCAAGATTGCCTAGTGGTTAAGGCCTTGAACATAAAATAAGTTGTCAACTTGACATAATCTAGAATAGCCTGTTAGAAGAGTGTCTTAGTCAATGTTCTACTGCTGTGAAAATACACCATAATCACGAAAAATCTTTTTTTAATTTAAAATTATTTTCTTATTCATTAAATTATTCATTCTACATACCAACCACAGATCTCCCTCTCATCCCTCCTTGCACTCCTCCCCCAGCTTCTCCCCCCTACTGACCCCCCATACCCTTCTCCAAAAGGGTAAATGCTCCCATGGGGAGTCAACAAAGCCTGGTATATTCAGATGAGGAAGGACCAAGCCCCTCCCCACTGCATCAAGGCTGAGCAAGGCATCCCACCATAGGTAATGGGCTCCAGAAAGCCAGCTCATGCACCAGGGACAGATCCTGATCCCACTGCCAGGGGCTCCTCAAACAGACCAAGCTACACAACTGTGTCCCATATGCAGAGGGCCTAGTACAGGACCATGTAGGCTCCACAGCTGTCAGTCTAAAGTTTGTGATTTCCCACAAGCTTGGTTCAGTTGTCTCTGTAGGTTTCCCCATCATAATCTTGATCACCCTTGCTCATGTAATCATTCTTCCCTCTATTCGACTGTACTCCTGGAGCTCAACCTGGTGCTTGGCTGTGGATCTCTGCATCCGCTTCGGTCAGTTATTGGATGAAAGCTCCATAGTGACACTTAGGGTATTCACCAATCTGATTACCAGGGTAGGCCAGTTCAGGCACCCTCTCCACTATTGCTAGTAGTCTAATCTGGGGACATCCTTGTGGATTCCTGGGAACTTCCCTAGCATCAGGTTTCTCTCTAACCACATGATATCTCCCTCTATTATGGTATCTCTTTCATTGCTTTCCCACTCCATCCCTGTCCCAGCTCAACCATACCACTCTATTATGTTCCCATTCCCCATCCCCTACTGTCCATTGCCCCCCTTACCCCCAGTTTACTCATGGAGATCTCATCTATTTTCCCTTCCCAGGGTGATCCATGCATCCATCTTTGGGTCCTCAGTAACTCTCATAAAGGAAAGCATTTAATTGTGGCTGGCTTATAGGTCAGAAGTTTAGTCCATTGTCATCATGGTAGGAAGCATGGTGGCATGCAGGCAGACATAGTGCTAGAGAAATAGCTTGAGTGTTCTACATCTGGATCCATAGGCATCAGGAAGAAAGTGCCACTAGGCCTGGTTTGAGAATTTGAAACCTCAAAGCCCACCCCAGGGACACACTTCCTCCAATAAGCCATACCTACTCCATGGCCACATCTACTAATGGCTGTCAAGTAGTGAAACTCCCCAATGACCAAGCATTCAAATTTATGAACCTATAGGGGCCATTACTATTCAAACCACCCAAGGAGATATTATGAGGAACTTTCTAGATCAAGCTGGCCTCTGGGCATATCTGGGAAGGATTTTCTTGATTTTGTTAATTGACATGGGAAGACCTAGTCCACTGTGGGTGGCACCATTCCCAGGATTTATGCAGTATACTGTATAAGAGTGGAAGAAATATGCTGAGAACTAACAATGCATTCATTGCTCTCTGCTCTTGACTGTGAATATGATGTTACCAGGTGTTTTAAATTCCTGTCACCTTGATTTCCTCCTGTCTGTGATGGACTGTAACCTAGAACTGTGACCTAAAATAAACCTTTGCTCCCCTAAGTTACTTCTTGTCAGCATCCTGTAATGGCTAGTACCACCTTTCCCCCTTTGGAAACTCCTAGAAGGTCTCCTGAGACATAAGAAAAGTAAAGTTCTGATATCAGTTACTATGCTCATTGCTGTGAGCAAATACCCGACAAAAGCAACTTAAGGAAAAGCTTACTTTGGCTAGCAGTATGGGGATACTGTCCAACATGGCAGAAATGGCATGGTGGCAGGATCCTGAGGCAGCTGAGAATATGGCTTCTGTTATCAGGAGGCAGAGAGTAATGAATGCTGTGCTGGTATTCAGCACCTTCTCACTATTATTCAGCTTGGTACTCAAACCCATGGGACGGTGTCATCCACGTTCAGGTTGTGTCTTTCCTGCTCTGTTAACACCTTTCTGGAAACAACTTCAGTAGGTGTGTCTCCTGATGGCTCGAAAACCAATAAAGTTGACAATGAAAAGTAATCATTACACTTCATGCTTAGTCCAGTGAAGACTAAACCACAACTCCCACCCTAGAGTCTTCTATGTCTCCTGAATCATTCCAGGAAGGGAAACAGTATTCATTGTAGGAAGAAAGCTGAAATTGAGCACATACTTTTTTTTTCTTATCTCAAGTTGAGGTAGACTTTAGTCAACCTTCTAATAAGAACCTATAAGCTAACATTTTTTATTCTATCTTGGAATTTTGCCTTTAAACATTTTCAAAATTCCCGACCCCACACACACATATATATGTGTGTGTGTGTGTGTGTGTGTGTGTGTGTGTGTGTGTGTGTGTGTGTGTGTGTTTATTAGCTTTAGGAGACTCTAAATAAGTATAATTTGCACTTAGCTTTCCACCCTATTTAGTTTTCTTGTTGTCCATACTCAAGAGTTAGAAAACCATGACCAATGGGCCGATGCCTGTTCTTGTGAATAAAGTTTTATTGAATTAAACCATACACATTATATTACTTTTCTGAGGTTCTGACAACAAATAATTGTAAATGTAGTGGCTTGGAGAAAGAAACAGAAATAGACTCTCTCATTATTTGAAGGCCAGAAGTCTAAAATCAAGCTGTAATCTAAAGTCAAGGTATAGACATATCTTGGCTTCCTCCAACAAATCTAAAGGAAAATGCATTGTATATCTTGCTGTCACTGATGACTGCCAGTATTCCTTGTGGTCACACCATTCTTGCCTTTGCCTGTGTCTTCACATGGCCTTCAGTTCTTCCCTATGTGGCTCAGATTCTTTTCTTTCTCTTCTGCCCTAAAGCCACTTGCCACGGGATTAAGGAACTGCACAGATTTTTCAGGATAGTCTCTTATCAAGATTCTTAATTAAATATACAAATCAATTTTCCCAAATATGACCACACATTCAAAAAAGAAACATTCTTAAAGTGAACATGTCTTTCAGAGACTGCCATTCAACCCATAATCCCATGTGTTTATGTAGCTATAATCTCTGGCTGCTTTTGTGTTAAACTTGGTCTAAGAGTCATCAAATATTTCCTATTTGACACTCTTTCTAGAAAGTCTTTGCCAAATTCTAGTCTAAATCTAGGGCCATGTTACAATTAAGAAGCTCTGTTCATTACTCTGTCTGTGAACAGCAATCCATCCTGCACATGTTCGTTCTCTCTCTCTCACACACACACACACACAAACACACACATACACACACGCACACACACACACACACACACACATGCACACATACAAACACACTGAGTGACAGTATCATAATCAAATTTTTATTGTTGATGAAACAGTGTCGAAGTCACACAAGGTGTACTGACTGCAAAGTAAGATGCAAATACAGCCAGTGTACATAACTCAATGTCCTAAAAAGTATGTCTTTTGCTTGTAGCTTATAAAAATATAAATATTTAGCAAAATTACACTAAATATTGCTCAGCATCACATAATTTTGGAAGAACAAAAGCTACTCTAGTAAAACTGACTTTCCTTTCCAAATGTCACATATACCTGATGTCAGTATGCCCCAAATATGGGACAGGGAACAGTCTGAAAAAGCAGATGAAAAACTAGTAGTGCCCTGAATTTTCCTCAGAATGTTGCTTTTGGAATTGACAAAGCAATAGCCACAGAATGACCTATTTCTCGCTCTTGTTAAATATCAGAGTAAATCTCCACATGTAAATTCCACATTAAAACACCCTTGAAGAGCAAATGAAACAATAATATTTAAATTCGTGATTTGCAATTTTAATTGGTGAAAAACATCAAACAAATCTTCACAAGCTCTCATAATGCAAACAAGTGTTGAAATAAGCCCAAATATTAACTATGCCCAGAAATAGCTGAAAAGAGGTCCTGTGAGTGATCTACCTTGTACATTATATACACATATATACATACATATAGATATGAATACTGACATTTATACATGAAAATATTATGTCCACAAGGTACAAGTAGGCTGAAAATAGAGGTACTACATTTAGTTTCCTAATAAATGTGAGAGATGTATGAAGATCCTTGACTTTTCTCATAACTCAAGGAAGAGGAAATCCATTATCCTCTTCCACCAAGTAGATAATGTTAGATCTTACTTCACAAAATAAATGGCATATATTCTGGAAAAACTGTCCATTAGAACATCACCTTTAAAGATTGTAAAAGTCATTTTACATATTTCTGTTCATGGATATCATTGAGGCCTAATAATAGAAACAAGGGTCAGAGGGAATTAAAATATAATCCTCTCCTCCAAGATGCTATAACATGTTATCAAACAGCATCTCTATTTTATGCAGTATTAATTTGGTTAAGGACAAGTCACCTAACCAACGAATCTAACACCTGGAGCCTACCTCAACTAGTGCCCTATTTGGAATGTTGGGTGACTGTGCTCAAAGAGTGATAGTACAATCCATTAAATTAAGAAACACAGACAGGACTGAGAAGATGACTGAGTGGATGAGATGCTTGTGAAAACATGAAAGCCTGGGTTTGGTTCCTTACTAACCACATGAAAATCCATGTCTTGGTGATGTGCAACTATAACCCAACAATGGGAAGGCAGAGACAAGTGGATCCCAGGGGCTCACTAGTGAACCAGTCTAACTGAATCAGCAAGCTCTGGGTTCGGTGAGAGACCCTGACTGGAAAACATAAGATGAAAGATGATAGAGATCGATATCAGGCATTCATTTGGCTTTCATTTGCATGCTCATGGTTGAGCATACCCACATACACACATATGTATACATTGTGTGCAATAGAGAGAGAGAGAAAGAGAGAAAGAAAGAGAAAGAAAGAAAAGAAAGGAAAGGAAAAGAGAGAAAGAAAAAGAACCTCTACCATCCCTGAAACCAGACAGCTTAGTAACCTATCTACCTGATTCTTTCTCTTTAGGAACAGAAAATAAAGGCAAGCATAATATCCTTGGCCCTGATTGGAACTGTATGCCTCAGATGACCACCTTCATTGGCGAAGGGGAACAAGAAGCCCAAATCACATATATAGATTCTAAGCAGAAGACAGTTGAGATGACAGACAGCACCTTATGTCCCAAAGAGCACCGGCATTTATATATCGACAACACATACAGTTCAGATGAACTTAGCCAACCACTGACTCAGCCAGGTGATACCCCCTGTGAGGCCGACTACAGAAGCCTAGCTCAGCGGTCCCTGTTGACCCTCTCAGGACCAGACACTCTGAAGAAAGCACAGGAATCCCCAAGAGGAGCTAAAGTGTCCTTTATTTTTGGAGATCTTGCCTTGGATGATGGCATGAATCCCCCAACTCTAGGCTATGAAAGACTGTTAGATGAGAATCCAGAAATGCTGGAGAAGCAGAGGAATCTCTACATCAGCAGTGCCAATGACATGAAAAACCTGGACCTCACTCCAGACACAGACAGCATCCAGTTTGTGGCAAATTCTGTATACGCAAACATAGGTGATGTGAAGAACTTTGAGGCCCCTGCGGGGATAGAGGAGCCCCTCTTACATGACATCTGTTATGCAGAAAACACTGACGATGCAGAAGATGAAGATGAGGTGAGCTGCGAGGAGGACCTTGTGGTGGGAGAGATGAATCAACCAGCCATCCTTGACCTGTCAGGGTCAAGCGATGACATCATTGACCTCACGAGCCTGCCTCCTCCAGAAGGCGATGACAATGAGGATGACTTCCTCTTGCGTTCTCTGAACATGGCCATCGCTGCTCCCCCACCTGGCTTTAGAGACAGTTCTGATGAGGAGGACACTCAGAGCCAGGCAACATCCTTCCAAGAGGACAAGGAACAAGGCAGCAGCCTACAGAATGAGGAGATCCCTGTGTCCCTCATTGATGCTGTGCCCACCAGCGCAGAGGGCAAGTGTGAGAAGGGACTGGACCCTGCTGTCGTTTCCACACTGGAAGCCCTAGAAGCTCTTTCAGAAGAACAACAGAAGAGTGACAATTCAGGTTCTTTCACCATTGTTACATTTATTCACTGATAACCATTGTCATCTCATCCTTTTGAGCCATTTGTCCCTGGAGTCCTGTTATGCGATGTTCTCCATTTCATACATGTCCCATTTCATAAACATGCTGATCTACCGTCATGGGGGTTTCACGTTAGGTGATTTCCTTTGTTGCTAGTTTAAAAATAAATTATGGCACCCCCCCCCTTTCTGGAACAACTGTGCAATAAAATCAGAGTCCTTATTAAAAAGGGAAAAATCTTGGTTTTTTTTTTAAATTTTGTTATTTTTGTCATTGTTGTTGTTTGTTTTCATTTTTGTAATAATAATGAGTCACATTTTCTTGCATGTCTCTAAGTGCCTCTGCTCCAGCCATTAACTGCTTCTTGTTTTTTATGGTATACAGGTGTAGCCATCTTGCGGGCTTATAGTCCTGAGTCTTCATCAGACTCGGGCAATGAGACTAACTCTTCTGAAATGACAGAGGGTTCTGAGCTAGCCGCAGCACAGAAGCAGTCGGAAAGCCTCTCGCGCATGTTCTTGGCCACTCATGAAGGCTATCACCCTCTTGCAGAAGAGCAGACAGAGTTCCCCACCTCCAAAGCCCCCTCAGGGGGCTTGCCTCCAAAGTCCTCCCATGGCCTGGCTGCTCGCCCAGCGACTGACCTCCCACCCAAAGTTGTGCCTTCCAAGCAGATCCTTCACTCAGACCACATGGAAATGGAGCCAGAAACCATGGAGACCAAGTCGGTCACTGACTATTTTAGCAAACTGCATATGGGGTCAGTGGCATATTCCTGTACCAGCAAAAGGAAAAGCAAACTTGCTGAGGGAGAGGGGAAAGTCCCCCTGAGTGGGAATGCACCAGGAAAAAAACAGCAAGGAACCAAAATGGCAGAGATGGAGGAGGACACCAAAGGCAAAGTTGGCACTGTGTCTTCAAGAGACAGTCCACACCTCAGCACTTTTAACCTGGAGAGAACTGCCTTTCGCAAGGACAGCCAAAGATGGTATGTGGCCTCTGATGGTGGGGTGGTAGAGAAAAGTGGTGTGGAAGCACCAGCCATGAAAACCTTTCCCAGAGGTCCAGGTCTGGGGAACAGGGAGGCTGAAGGAAAGGAGGATGGCACTGTGGAAGGAGACACTGATGAAGGTTCAGGACTTAACCAAGGGGACCGCTTCCTAACAGACATGGCCTGTGTGGCCTCAGCCAAAGACTTAGAAAACCCTGAAGATGCTGACTCGCCCACCTGTGACCATGCCACTAAGCTTCCTGAGACTGAAGACAGTGTGGCCCGCCTTTGTGACTACCATTTGGCCAAGCGGATGTCATCCCTGCAGAGTGAGGGCCATTTTTCTCTCCAGAGCTCTCAAGGCTCTTCAGTGGACACAGGCTGTGGCCCAGGCAGTGGTAGCAGTACCTGTGCCACTCCTGTGGAATCGCCCCTCTGCCCCTCCCTGGGGAAGCACCTGATTCCCGATGCTTCTGGGAAAGGTGGGAGTTACATTTCGCCAGAGGAGAGAGTCACTGGCCATCCCAGCCATGGAGCCACCTTCAAGGAATTGCACCCACAGACGGAAGGGATGTGTCCGCGCATGACAGTACCTGCTCTGCACACAGCCATTAATGCTGACCCCCTGTTTGGCACATTGAGAGATGGATGCCATCGACTGCCCAAGATTAAGGAAACCACAGGTACAGCAATGATGGATTTAGGGTTTTATTTTATGTGCCGGGATCATGGGGACCTTATTTACAGCAAACCTAAAAATATAGAGTAAAAGGTAGATAAAAGGCCACAGAGCTGTTAAGAAGCAATCAATGACCCATTGGCAATAAATAGTGTTTTCTGGGTCTGGAACAATGTGGGAAATAGGGTTTTCTCATTATAATCTTGCTTTGCTCTTACTTTAGGATTTGATGGAGTCATAAATTTTGTTCTAAATTCTGAGTACAGAGTTCTCCATATGACTCCGAGCTATAAGATAGTATTGTTTAAGGTCACATGGGACTTTTATTTCCTTCTTGCTGAGATCACCCCTTTCTAGTTTTGCTGTGTGTTGTTTAGGGAAGGATATAGAGCAGACAGTGAGGGAAACTGGAGGTTTGTTAAGAAACTGGAGGTTTGTTAAGATTCTATGTTGCTCAGTGGAGTCACAGATTCTTCCCTCACCTTTAGGGGACACCCTTCCTAAAGTCTCATGTCGCCTATGGACATCAGTATTGGGAAGAGTACGAAGAGTTATGATGAGCCCCTCAAATCAAATTTCTATCAAGTAGAAATAATAACATAGCCACCTTCTCTGCCCATCCTAACCCAAAACCATCAGGCTCACCCTCTTCCTGACCTAGTTGGCTGGTTATCAGGAGACCCAAGTAGATGCTCTCAATGTTTCGTGTTATGACAATAGTATTTTTTCCATAGTGGCCAATAAAGGTTACTGAGATCTAATACAGGTTAATTTCCAGTCTTACCTTTTAAAAATATCTTTAAGAGTCTTCAAAAGATTTTCTAGTTGTCCCCCAAACTTACCATTAACTTTGCCTGCCTTGGGAAAGTTATCATCTGTGAACGTTACCCAACTCCTTGTCTGACTGCATGTTCACCCGTAAAGAAATTACAAACAATACCGTTTAATCCTCCATGGATCTCAAAGAGCTTTTGCCTTTGTTACCTCTTGCTCTTCTTCACATGACAGTTTTTTTTCTATGAAAGTTGAACAACTTGTCTAGTGTCTTGACCTCAAGCCCTGTACCAAACAAACTTCAGAACTCATGTTGTCCTTTTAAAACAAGTAGCTGAATTAATTAGCAAGAATTCAATTGAGACACTTAAAAATGGTAACTTAAATATCTCAATCCTGTTAGAATAATATATGCAGTGGAATGCTTATTTACTAACTATATGTCTAACCTTTCATAGGTAAATATCAGGAACAAGGAAATTCATGAAATGAGATTGTCTCCATACAAATGTTTCACATTTCTAGACAAATTTAACTAGGTCAGTAATTCCAGAAGTAATAAACTCCAGGAATTCTTGCCATCCATTGACATTGGAAACTATTATGAGTTATCAGGGAGGAATCTTTGGGAAGCAGGGTAGCCCTGACAAATGGCAGCTCTTTTAAAATAGACCCTTGGGAAATGGCAGGTAAAACATAGAGCAGTAGGGAAAATGTTCACCCAGGAGATGCTTAATGAATCTCTCTGTTTTTCTACTACCCCTAGTGTAGCTTTGACAGAGCCTGGGAAGGAGAGACAAGGAGGCATGCCTTCAGCTTGGTCTCAACATCCTGAAGCTGATCCCATCCTGCTACCATCAAATATTCACTTGGAATCAAAGGTGCCAAGCCCAAATCAAGACCCTAATGATTTCTCCCAAGCAAACCAGGCATTCGGAGAGGCTGTGAGCTGGTGGCCAGCGGATCTGAGAGGGGGGAGCCTCAGGACACCCCCCAGCCAGAGGGCTCTCAGACAAAGCAGCAGTGTCCTCTCAGGACCCGTAGGTTTGGAGACCTTCCAAGAGAGAACCAAGGGTGCAGTCAGCTTGAAGTATCCAGGTATCACAGAAGCACAGGAAGCCAGTTCGGAAAGACGAACAGAACTCCCACTGGGGAAGAAGCTCACCAAAAGTTTTTCCCAAAGCTCGATGCACTTTATCTCTGAGGGAAAGTTTCACAAAAGGTCCCCAGTGTCTCATAAAGACTCAAAGCTGTATAGGACCCTACCCTTGCGGAAGCTGGAGGGCAGCAACTGGAGATGCCGAGGACCCTTCAGCTACTGTTTTCTGAACCAAGGACAGGATGAAGATGGGGATGAGGATGAAGAGGAGGGGGAGGCCACCCTTCAGGTCTCTTGCCTCTATCGACCACAGATAACTCAAGCCATGCAGGAACCAAGCAAGTCATCCCTGGTTGTTGGACTGCAGAAACAAGGAGAACTATGCAGAGGGCCAGTGCTGAAGGTCTGGACAGAAGACCCCAGTGGCCCAGATGACTTGGATTTCAGCAGTCTGGCTTTTGATGCCCGGATTGCAAGAATAAATGCCCTAAAGGCGAGCACATATGGAATGCCCGATGGGTTCCTCGAAGCCCAGAATGATGCCAATGAGCTGCTCTGCCTTGTCAGGGCAACCAAGGCAAAGAGGGAGGAGTCATGCCCTGAAGCATATGACCTTACACTTTCTCAGTACAAGCAACTGTTATCCATTGAGTCCAGACAGTTGGGAAGTGCCTGTAGGAAAATGGCAATGGCTGAGAAAAGCCCAGAAGAGATGCTCCTAGCCATGAGTTCCAGTTTTCAAGTGCTCTGTTGCCTAACAGAAGCTTGCATGCGGTTAGTGAAAGTCGTGAACTCTGAAACACAGCGGCAGGAAATTGTAGCGAAGATTGATGAGGTGGTCATAAACTATATTTGTCTCCTGAAAGCTGCTGAGGCAGCCACTGGCAAGACCACTGGGGATCCTAGTATTGGACTATCGATGCGACATTCAACCACCATGGCCGCTCTTGTAAGCACACTAACACGTTCTCTCAAGATGCTTTTAAATAAATAAATATGAAAGTCACATCATAATCTACCTTTGCAAAGCCATACATGAACTTTTCTTTACTTTCTGTGTACAATGAACAGATGTCTCCTTTCTTCTCTCTGTATATTTTGTTCTTTTATATAAAATAGGAGATAGAAGTTACATTGATGAAATGTTTGAAATGTCCTAATCAGATGTATTCTGTTTATATTATACATATATTACATGTAAAAGGAATATATGAGAAAATGATGGCATTTGGCTATTTTTCATATAGTCAAAACTCCAGGCATATGATGTGAGATTTTAAATTCTACCATGTTAGAGGAAAACAATGAATCCTATCCCCTCTCCTTCCAAGTGGATACTTAGAGACCCTATCATTCATATTTAGAAGTAAAAGTCAAAAGAAAAAAATAGAAAAGAAACCAAAATGTATATAAAACAGTTCTTATGCTTTAAAATTATGATTGATTTTTAAGCATTGGAACTAGCAAAGGGATATTTAAAATTCAAGAAGCTATTACGAATTACTAGAGAATATATATAATAAATTAACTTTTCGCTCATAGTATTTTGTTATTGGATGCTTTCTTCCAAGAATTCTCACATATTTAATTTTGGTTTATGCTATTTGGGCTACAGATGGGCAGGGGGTGGACAGATTCCATTGTGTCAACATAAATGCTCTTTACAGTATTTCTAGACTCTAAAACTTCCCCAAATAGAAGAACAGAGGAAATGATGGGCAGGATCCTAGGCAATAGCTAAAGGTATAAGTTATCTAATTATATAAAATAAATGGAATTAGTAATGCCAAAATTAAATTGTTCTGTGAAAAAGAGAGATCTGCTTCTACTCAATGTCAAAATACATAAACCAAAGGCATTATTTTCTTCCAATTCAATCATGAAGTTTATGACTTCCTTTTGAGAACACCTAGTAAAGTGTTTGTAGAATTACACAAAACAAAAGACTTAATCATCACAAAAAGTGCAGACCCAGTATTGTAAATCAGACCGCACACCAGCACCAAGCACAGCTCAGCCTTCAGCTCCTTGCCCTCAGCTCTAAGAAGAGCTTCCTATGGTATCATGCTAGCAACAAAACATGGAAGGACAGCCTACTACTGAGACAAATTTTCAAATCTAGAATGTTCCAGAAAATCAAGGAGAGATGACTACTCTGATAATTGAACCATGATTCAAAACGTAGTATTTATTTAATCAGTACTTCATTTGGCTGATAGAAATATGAAATCTGAACAGAAACATGGCAAATTTGACCATTTCAAGTGAAACTAAGGTAATGCAAAAGTTATGTTCTCAACTGTCATCTCTCTAAAAATACATTTGGGTCAAAACAAAAGGCGGCAAACTCTTTGATCATAAGTTAAATTGATATGTACATATGTAGTTCCTGGATCACTCCGTAGTCAAGCTCTCCACATTCTATTTATGTAAATGGCTTCTTAGAATAAGAGTAGTATAGCAAGAACCAATATTTCCCATTTTGTAGCCTGCCATGCAGGAGACCTAGCAAGGTCCACAGTTGCTATTTCTCTCTGGTCAGCCATTCATTCCACAGAGACTCAGCAAAAGCCACACCACAGATTTATAGATTGTAACCAATGAAAGGGGTTCAGACTATGTTATTATAAATAATGTTTGATTAAATAATAAAACATTATTTCATTACAATTCTAAATATTTGGTGTTTTGCTATTGAGAGACATTAGTGGTGTTTACTGTGGAAAATCGTAGTAAATATTCTGTGTACTATAATACAAACAATAATAGGATGTGTGCTCCGTGTCAGACAATGTGCTAAGCATTATCACATGTATTATCTCATTTAGTCATCTCTGCAATCTCTTGATTTGGACACTATCATTAGTTCCTTCTGGAGGCATTATGGTTTAGTAGTTATGAAATATGGGGCTTGGGGTCTGAAACATCTTTATTTAAATTTTGGTCCTGCCATTTACTAGCCCTTTCATCTTCAGAAAGCTATCTTTTTCGCAGTCTCGATTTCCTTATTGTGAAATGGACTTCAGTAATGAAATCTATTTCCATAGGGTTTTCACAAGTTTTAAGTAAAATTGTGTATTGTAAAGTTCTTACCACAGTATCTGATGGAGAATAAGTATTCAATGTTAGATATTATAATTATCATAATTGTTGTGTTAAATATATTGCCCAAGATACTATGTGGAGGATGTTTGTTTTCTATGCATATTGTATCCTGACTGTGTGCAGAACACATTATGTGTCATGCATATACTGAAAAGAAGCTTACAAGGAAATGATGGTCCTTTTTCAAATTGCAAATCTAGCTAGAACAACTTCCTAGTCCATTGTGGTTCTTTGAGAAGCCTCAGGGAAATAGCTCTGGGTCTTTCTAGCCAATCTCATATTTCCTGTGGCTACTCCAGTAAGTTTCTGTTCTCCTAAACAGTCTTTACTATTCAAAAATCTCAAAAGGCCCCCTTCCCTTCTCTAAGCATGGGGCTCCTAACTGGAGTCCAGGTCCATTAGAGTATAGGAAGAACATACTAGAATGATACTTGTGTTTATTTTTATCTAGTTTTTTTATGTTTGTGTATGTTTTATAATGGCTAATAGTACAGTGGTACATGTACATAATTTTAAATAAATAAATAAACAAATAAACAAACAAACAAGCCTGGTGCATGTATGCAAAATACTGTCACAGGTAGAGTTATAGTCACTAAATTTTGAAGTGTGGAACTGGAGAGTAAAGCTACGTGGCACTGGAGTTTGTTTACATTCAGTGTCCAGCCAATTTTCCCAAGTGTATCTCCCACCACTTTTATTTAGCAGTCATTATAAAAGGTACAAATGTGTACAAGACTGCACACAATTATACAAGGAACCAATTGAGGACTCACTGCACATCAACTTCTGACTGGTTCTACTTTCTCCATTTCTACTCACCTCCTCCCAGCCTGTATTATTTAGAAACAAATCCCAGACATCACATTGGTTAATCCATGAATATCTCAGTAAGAATCTTCTGGGAATAAGAACTTGTAAACATAACCATGTCACTTCACAGATCAAAAATGGGCAATTCCTCCGTATCATTAAACAAAAATTACAGAAATGAATGATAATGAAAACAAAAGTCCTCTACAAACCCAGCCTCCAAAGACATTGTCTACAATTGCTGTCTCTTTCCCCCATCCATATGTGTGTGTGTGTGTGTGTGTGTGTGTGTGTGTGTGTGTGTGTGTGTGTGTGTGTGTTTTCATTTTTCTGAGTTGAACTTTGAACTCAGAGTTGGTCTGAGCACATGGACCTCAATTCCTTCATACTTCATGTAAGTGGATTTGTCAGAAGGAGCATAGTTGACAGAAGAGTGAGAGTTGTCACGTGAACAACAATCTCAGCATTAGTAAGATCCACTAGTTGATATAGTTTCATTAAATGTCAAAATTTACATGGACACCACCAACTTTGTGTTCAACAGGAATGAGTCCAATCACATAGGCAAACATTTTCCAGAAAAGAGGGGCTGAAAATAAGTTTTGAAACCACCAACTACAATACCAATACAAAAGTTTGATTCCTTTTGCTAAGAAGTTGATCTTTCATGGTGAAGATACTCTCCATTCACTTGTATTCCATTTACATATACTTCCAATGCCAGTTATATACTTTTTATAGTATTTTTATTTTATAATTAACTTAATTTCACATATCAGCCACGGATTCCCCCATCCTCCCTCCTCCCACCCTCCAGTCCTCCTCCCCAATACAACCCCCACTCCCACCTCCTCCAAGGCAAGGTCTCCCCTGGGGAGTCAGCCCAGCTGGCAAACTCAGCCAAGGCAGGTCCAGTCCCCTCTTCCCTACACCAAGGCTGAGCAAAGCGTCTCAGCATAGGCTCCAGGCTACAAAAAGCCAGCCTATGCACCAAGGACAGGTCCCAGCTCCACTGCCTGGGGGCCTCCCAAACATTTCAAGCTAATCAACTGCCTCACTTATCCAGAGAGCCTGGTCCAGTTCCATGGGGGTTCCTCCGCCATTGGTTCACAGTTCATGCACTTCCACTAGTTTGGCTATTTGTCCCTGTGCTTCCTCCAACCATGGTCTCAACATCTCTCACTCATACAATCCCTCCTCTCTCTCGCCGATTGGACTCCCAGAGCTTCACCTGGAGCTCGGCCATGGATCTCTGCATCCGCTTCCATCAGACACTGGATGAGAGTTCTATCATGACAGCCAGGGTGTTCAGCCATCTGATCACCAAATCAGGTCAGCTCAGACACTCTCTTGACCATTGCCAGTAGTCTACAGTGGAGGTATCTTTGTGGATTTCTGGAGATCTCTCTAGCAATCTGCTTCTTCCTATTCCCCTGGGGTCTTCATTCATCATGGTATCTCCCTCTCCATTCTCCCACACTACTCCTGATCCAGCTGGGACCTCCCTCTCCCCTAAGCTCTCTTTCCCCTGACCCTTGCCCTCCATTACCCCGCCCCCAACCCCAATTTGCACAAAATGTGGTACATATACACAATGGAGTACTACTCAGCAGAGAAAAACAATGACTTCATGACGTTTGCAGGCAAATGGATGGAACTAGAAAAAATCATCCTGAGTGAGGTAACCCAGACTCAGAAAGACAAACATGGTATTTTCTCACTCGTCAGTGGATACTAGATGTAAAACAAAGATGACTAGACTGCTACTCACAACTCCAGGGAAGCTACCTAGTAAAGAGGACCCTAAGAAAGACACAGGGATCGCCCAACGACAGAGAAATAGATGATGAGATCTACAGTTATATACCTTAATGTTATTTCTGAGACACTCAAAACATTGCTTTAATCTCTTCTGCCTGCATTTTTCTTGATTTGCAAATGGGGCAATTTGTTCTTTATCACTCATTGGGCTCCTGATAACTTTTTGAAATTGGAAATCAAAGGAGAACAAATCAGCTGTGTTCAAGCCAATTTCTTATCTAAACATTTAGAAACCTGAATGTGTGCCATATACAAGACCCTGGGTTCCATCCCCAGAAGTGAAGGGAAAAGAAAAGGGAGGGAAAGGAAAGAAGGGGGCCTGAAGGGGGATGAGAGATAGACACAAAGAGGGAATCATTGTTGTGGGGTATCAAAGTACATGAGTATTACATTGTCTCTAGCCTGATTTTGTCTTTGCTTTGAACATGATCAATTTGTGTGTGTGTGTGTGTGTGTGTGTGTGTGTGTGTGTGTGTGTGTGTCTGTCTGTCTGTCTGTCTGTCTGTGAGACCAGCTTTCAATTTGGCTTTATGGATTTCAGTATTCGTTTTCTGTCTGATAATACATAAAATATGAAAAAGAAGTGTAAATGTGCCTAATCCTCCCTTAAAGGCAGATTGCAGTAAGAGCTACTCCACTTTAGAATAACAAGGAACAAGAATTCTACCTTCTGAACTGAGTTTATATTCATAACAACTTGACCATCATCACTAAACCGGATATTCTGTTATTCCAGTTATCCCTTGGCTACCTAGCTCAACTTCAAAATATTTTTAAACTGAGTTTTTGAGAATTTCATACATATATAACTAAAATACCCACTCCAACTTCTCTTCGGTTCCCCTCAGATCCCTCCAATGCATCCACCTCCCATCTTCATAATAGCTCCTCAGTTAGAGGCAGAGTCTCGAATCCCCCTCTGCCACCCATGCTGGAAGAAAGATTTTAGTTGGGTTAATCTTGTGGAGGTGACCACACTTGCTGTGAGTTCATGAGTGGAGGAGCCATATCATGACCAAAGAACAGCATTTCATCACACTCCTCCTCATCCTCAGGCTCTTACATTCTTCCCACCTGCTCTCACAGGATGTTCTCCAAGTCTTGGGAGGAGGGTTGATAAAGGTCACTTTTTAATTTCAAAGCCTCTACTTAGGAAATCTATGGAAAAACATTCTATCTACAAAATATTGTTGCTACACAAAATAGTGGAAGTAAATAAATCGTACTCTGGTGGAAAAAAAATAGATAATTATCCCATGTAGCTTATAAAATTAACTGCTGCCTTCAGCTGAGATTCTTCTGGTCTTTTCAGCCATATTTATAATTACATCTGAATTTTCTCTTATATTATCATTTTAGAGCTTTAGATTTGTTTTGTTTTCATTCTTGTTTATTCTCATTTTCCACTTCACAGCTTGAACCAAAATTGTGCCATATGTGACATATTATTCACAATATATGGGTAAAATTCACTATAGTCATAGATCCATGTGGTGTTTGTCCTTTCTTATTTTCTTATTGTTTGAGAATTTCATATATGCATATAATGTGCTTTGACCAAATTCACCCCATTCCCTTCCCTCAACTGTTCTCTTAACCCCCTATCACTTTCCTCTCCTCTCCTTCATGTACTCTGTTTTTAATTTCACAGAGTCTACTTAGCGCTGCCTTTGTGTGAACGAGTGTAGGACTATCTACTGGTACCCCTCAGGGAGTTTATCCCTGAAGAAAACTGATTCCTTCCTCACCAGCTATCAACTTCCAATAGCTCTCCAACTAGGAGAAGGAGTTTGTGAGTCCCCTCCAAATTCATGGGGAAATTTTGGCTGCACTGTTCTTATATAGGTCTTGTGTACATAGTCCCAGCTACTGTAAGTTTGTCTATATGACAGCCTTCTTGTATCCAATAAAACAGTTTCACAGCAAACACCTTCTGCTTCCAACTCTTACACTCTTTCTGTCCCCTCTTTCATTATGACTCTTGAGTCTTGCAGGGAGAAGTGTGATAGAGCTGTCCCATTTACAACTGAGCACTCCATAGTATCTTATTTTTCTGAATGCTGGCCAATTGTGATCCCTGTCTTAATAGCCATTTACTACAAAAAGCAGATCCTCTGATGAACTAATCTATAACAGATAACAACTATAACAGAAGAACTAATCTATAAATATAGGCCGGGTGGTGGTGACACACGCCTTTAATCCCAGCACTCGTGGAGCAGAGCCAGGAGGATCTCTGTGCATTTGAGGCAGCCTGGTCTACAGAGCGAGGTCCAGGACAGGCACCAAAACCACACGGAGAAATCCTGTCTGGAAAAAACAACAACAAAATAAAAGTATCTATATAGAGAGATAAGAAATAGGGGGCAGTTTAATACTATATCCATTTAGAAGAATAAAAGCATCTTCCTATGGTTTATGACTATATCCATCCATGGGTTTTTGGCCCAGTTAATGGTACCAGGCATAATTCTGTGGAGTGGGCCTTAAATTAAATCAGAAAACGGTTGGTTACTTCCATAACATTTGTGGAAGTGGGGATACCCTGCCAGGCCAGTAGTTATTGCAGGTCACAAGGGTCACAACAGGATAAGACTGGTGATTACTCCCCTGTAGTATGAGGGAGTATAAGGAGAGAACACTAATACCACAGACCTTTGAAAAAGCCTAACGGAAAACTACTACTATAGAAGCTTCCTACCAGGGATCTTAACTTCCTTGGAAACCTCCAACTAAAAGCTATTTCTGCTGTTTCCATTTTCACTGTTGTCTGTTGTCTATCTGTCCTGTCCTTCCATCAATGATCCATGACTGTTTTCTGTCTCCTACTTTAAAAAAAGGCAGGCTGATTCTATTCGCTCATTCAACAGCTATGAATAACTTCCTAATGGTGGACAAATAATGTGTGGGTATA